TCCCTTCATCTTTTTTACTCATCCCCCCCAACCCCTTCAATCTGGCGACCATCAATTTGTTTTCTGTATCCATGAGTTTTATTTATTTTTTATGCTCCTTATATGAAATCATATGGAATTTGTCGTTCTCTGTCTGGCTTATTTCACTTAGCATAATAATCTCTACATTCATCTAAGTTGCCGCAAATGACAAGATTTCTTTTTTTATAGCTGTGTAATATTCCATTATATATATGTACCAGTCTTCTTTATTCATTCGCCCATTGATGGGCACTTAGGTTGCTCCCATATCTTGGTTATCCTATATAATAAAAGCCTAAAATGCTAAGTATCCGGTCATCCATTTAACCAATCAAAGCGTAATATGCTAATGGTATGCTAAGGCTGCTCAGCCGCTTGCTATGACATGCACTGACCACCAGGGGGGAGACAGTTGACCAGTCGCTATGATGTGCACTGACCACCAGGGGGCTGATGCTCCGACTAGTAGGTTAGCTTGCTGCTGGTGTCTGGCTGATCAGGACTGAGCGAGACGGGCCGGACACACCCTGGAGCCCTCCCGCGGTCCCTCCCCCGCTGGCCAACCTTATGTGTCCCTCCCTGGCCCTGATTGTGCACCAGTGGGGTTCCTTGGCCTGGCCTGCGCCCTCTCGCAATCTGGGACCCTTCAGGGGATGTTTCGGCCCGATACTGCTCAACGCAGGAGCTATCCCCTGGTAGTCAGTGCACTCCCATGGGGAGCACTGCTCAGCCACAAGCCAAGCTCTGTGGCAGCACTAAGGATGGGCCTAAGCCATCAGTCAGACATCCCCCAAGGGCTCCTGACTGCAAGAGGGCACAGGCAGGGCTGAGGGGACCCCCCACCCCCCGCCAGTGCACGGATTTCATGCACCAGGCCTCAAGTTTGCAAATAATAACAATTTTACTTCTTTCTTTCTGATTTGGATGCCTTTTATTTATTTGTTTTGTTTTTGTCCGATTTCTGTGGCTATCCTATCTAATAATTGACAAACATGGTAATTGACCGTACCTTCGCTATGCCTCCCATTGGCTAACCGTGATATGCAAATTAACTGCCAACAAAGATGGCGGCTAATTTGCATACTGCAGGCGGGGGCTGGCAGTGACCCGGGCCGATCCCTGACCCGGCGAGGCAGGGCCGGCAGCGCGCAAGGCTGCCTGCGGGATCCGGGCCCTGATCCCTGACCCAGGAGGCGGGGCCGGCAGCACACGAGGCTGCCTGTGGGACCCGGCCCGGATCTGTATCCTGGCGAGGGAACAAAGTGGCAGAGAAGGGAGGGAGTGAGGCAGCGAAGAAGGGAGTGAAGCCCGCCTAGGTGGGCTTCGCTACCTTCTCTGCTTTGCTCTGTTCTCAGGAAACCCTATTCCTGCAGGAATCTTCCTGCAACGGGCATCTAGTGTTCAATAAGAGTGGTAAAAATGGACATCCTTGTCTTGCTCCTGATTCTAAAGAAAAAGCTTTCAGCTTTTCATTGAGTATGATGTTAGCTATGGGTTTGTCATTTATGGCCTTTATAATATTGGAAGAATGTTCCTTTTATCTCCACTTGGCTGAGATTTTTTTTTTCATAAATGTATATTTGATTTTGTCAAATGCTTTTTCTATATCAACATGATCAATGATTTTATTTATATGCTGTATCACATTGACTTGCAGATATTGAACTAATTTTGCATCCAGGAATAAATCCTACTTAATCATGGTGTATGATCTTTTTAATGTATTGCTGAATTTGTTTTATATTTTGTTGAGGCTTCTTATATTTATTACTCGGGGATATATTGATCTATAATTTTCTCTCTCTTTTTTTAGTGTCTGTCTAGTTTTGATATCAGAGTAATACTGGCCTTGTAAAATACATATGGGAGCCTTCTCTTCAATATTTTGGAATAGGTTAAGAAGGATAGATATTAATGATTCTTGGACAGTTTGGTAAAGTTCATCTGTGAAGTCATGTGGTCCAGGATTTTTGTTTGTTGGGAGTTTTTTGATCATTGATTTGATTTTGTTGATAGCTATTGGTCTGTTCAGATTTTCTGTTTCTTCCTGATCTAGTCTTGGATGATTGTGTATTTCTAGGAATTTATGCAATTCTTTCAGGTTGTCCAATTTGTTCACATATAATTGTTCTAGTATTTTCTCTCTTTTTTAATATATTTTTTATTGATTAAGATATTACATATGTGTCCTTATCCCCACGTTACTCCCTACCCCCCCCCCCCGCCCCCGCTCATGCCCTCACCTCCCCGTTGTCCGTGTCCATTGGTTAGGCCTATATGTTTGCATATAAGTCCTTTGGTTGATCTTTCCCCCTTAACCCCCACCCTCCCCTACCTTCCCTCCAAGGCCCGACAGTCCAATCAATGCCTCTCCGTCTCTGGATCAGTCCTTGTTCATCAGTTTATGTTGTTCATTATATTCCACAAATGAGTGAGATCATGTGGTATTTATCTGCTCTCCAGTTCCATCCATGCTGTGGCAAATGGTAAGAGTTCCTTTTTCTTCTTCCTCTTCTTAAAGAATACCTTTCAACATTTCATATAATGCTGGCTTGGTGGTGATGAACTCCTTTAGCGTTTTCTTATCTGTGAAGCTCTTTATCTGACCTTCTATTCTGAATGATAGCTTTGCTGGATAAAGTAATCTTGGTTGTAGGTTCTTGCTGTTCATCACTTTGAATATTTCTTGCCATTCCCTTCTGGCCTGCATAGTTTCTGTTGAAAAATCAACTGACATTCATATGGGTACTCCCTTGTAGGTAACTGACTGTCTTTCTCTTGCTGCTTTTAAGAGTCTCTCTTTGTCTTTTGCTCTTGGCATTTTAATTATGATGTGTCTTGGTGTGGTCCTCTTTGGATTCCTTTTGTTTAGGGTTCTCTGTGCTTTCTGGACTTGGAAATCTATTTCTTTCCCCAGGTAGGGGAAGTTTTCTGTCATTATTTCTTCAAATAGGTTTTCAATATCTTGCCTTCTCTCTTTTTCTGGCACCCCTATAATTCAGATGTTGGTACGCTTGAAGTTGTCCCAGAGACTCCTTACACTATCTTCATATTTTTGGGTTCTTTTTTCTTTTTGCTTTTCCAGTGGGTATTTTTTGTTTCTTCGTATTTCAAGTCTTTGACTTGATTCTTGGGATCCTCTTGTCTGTTGTTGGATCTCTGTATATTATTCTTTATTTCAGTCAGTGTATGCTTAATTTCTAGTTGGTCTTTTTTCGTATCCTCCAGGGTCTCACTAAATTTATCGGCAGTTTCCAGAAAATTCTTGAAAAACCTTATTAACCGTGGTTTTGAATTCTATATCCAGTCGTTTGCTTTCCTCCATTTCTGTAATTTGTGATCTGTTTCTTTGTCTCCGCATTTTTTATGCTTCCCTGTGTTGGGAGAGTGGCTTTGTGTGCTAGGTGTCCTATAGGGCCCAGTGGCTCAGCCTCCCCAATTACCTGAGGTGGACACTCTTCTGCACCCCTTTGTGAGCTTTGTGCACGGTCTTGTTGTAGTTAAGCCTTGATTGTTGTATGTATCACTGGGAGGAATTGACCTCCAGGCCAATTGGCTGTGAGAATCAGCTGTGTCTGTAGTGGGAGAACTTCTGTGCTGAAGACACCCTTCTGGGGCAAGACTTGCTTCAGTGGGGCTTTGGTGCTCACTGAATCTGCCCCCTGAGTGTGTCCCTTATGGATCTGAGGAGTTGTAATCTGATGGTCCCGCTCTTACCACTGGGTACACTGGCTCTTGGTTCTAAGGAGTTGCTAATTTAGCCTCTGCCTGAGGTTACCCAGCAGGAGCTACGAAGAGATCTGCAGATTCCCCTTTTTTTGGGGGGGGGGGGGTTTGGAGGTGCCTAGATGAGGCCCAGCTGTGAAGCAATGCAAGCTGCTGTGGGGCCTTGGGCCTTCTCTTGGAAGTTCTGGGTCTGTCTGGCCCAGCTGTAATTTGTTAGGTATTTTTCAGATTGCAAAGGGCTAGGGCATTCATATGCAATAGCCTCTGCTGCAGCCTGGGTGGGGCAGGGTCTCAGGGAATCAACAGGGTGGAGTAAGCAGCTATGGCTCATTCTCAGCCCTGCCCTAAGGGGCCCCGTGTCTCAGTGTCCCCGTAATTGCTGCAAGCACCTCTGAGAGAAAGCCGCCCTCAAGTTCCGAGTTCTGCCCGCTGCCAGACAGTCCAGTTTCTCCCCGTATGAGTCCTGGTCCCCAGAGACTTCCCGGAACTGAGTTCAGAGCTGTCTGGAGCTTGTGACTCCCTCCCGATTCAAAAAGACAGCCGCATCCTCAGGTCCAGCCTCTTTCCGCGCTTGCTCGAGCCTCTGTATCTCTGCAATTTACTTCCGCAGCTCCTCTGAGTCTTAGTGTGCTTTTCTCTTTCCTTCTAGTTGTAGAATTTCCACTCAGCCAGCCTTCCTGTAGTTCTGGATGATGTCCGTTTTGTCTTTTCGTTGTATTTTTGAAGAAGTTATGGGAGGCAGCAATTTCCCGTGTTTACCTATGCCGCCATCTTGGTTTCTCCTGACTTTTGCCTTTTCAAGAGGATATATCTTAAAATAGAAAATTATGGCCCTAGCCAGTTTGGCTCAGTGGATAGAGCATCAGCCTGCGAACTGAAAGATCCCAGGTTCGATTCTGGTCAAGGACATGCCCAGATTGTGGGCTCAATCCCCAGTGGGGGGCTTGCAGGAAGCAGCCAATCAATGATTCTCTCTCATCATTAATGTTTCTATCTCTCCCTCTTCCTTCCTCTCTGAAATCAATAAAAAATATATTAAAAAAAGAAAGAAATTATGGGGTCATTTTTCTTCCTTGAATTACTAGTGGCACATCTAAAAATCACTATGTCTTAGGAACAAGGAAATTTATCTCCAGTGCCAAATATAGTCTTGATAACATAATATGTGCACAATAGATATTTGTATGCTAGGTTATAAAATATGGTGATTTTATACTGCAAAGTATGCTTCTAAAAGTTTTATGTCTCTTCAGGTATTTTATGCATGGTGTGTGTCGGGAAGGAAACCAATGCCTGTTCTCACATGACTTGGCAAACAGCAAGCCATCCACCATCTGCAAGTACTATCAGAAGGGCTACTGTGCCTATGGAACTCGCTGCAGGCAAGAACCCCGCCACTGCCCCAATTGTTATACTGAGTTAAATATTATCTGGGATTTGGATCCTTCATTTGGAACATGGATCTTGAGGGGAAATTTTAAATTTAAAAGTAATATGACAACATTACAAAAAGTATGGCAAATAGTTTTGAAACCTCAATTTCAGTACCCCAAAATTAATTTTTTCCGAATCACTTTTCAGGCCTTATTTTTATAAGTCTCTAGTTACAAAATTACACTGATGGTATATATAAAATTTTATATCTTGCTTTTCCCCCCCTACTTAACATGTCATAAGCATTTTTCTATGCTATTTTATAATGTTACATAATGTTAACAGACCATTTTATTAACTGTGACTCCATTAGAAATTTAAATGGCTTCCAGTTTTTTGCTATGAACAATTACGTGCATAGAGTCTTCTTTTTACCACTGACATATGTAGGCAACTTTGTAACTTTTAAACGAGGAAATACCCCAAAAACCTGTTCCTGTCCTTTCCTAATGAAGAGCTGCTCTGTTTTTTCCCGGGTTGCAAAGCTCCATTGAGTCCTTCTTCTGGCTGCCTATGTGATAGTGGAAGTTGGCCCGCCTTGCCCTACCCCTGCCAGTGGTGCCCCAGAGAGACAGTCAGGAAGGCTGGTCTCCAGCTGTTACACTGGCCATTATTAACATTGTGGGGACTCCTGCCCAAAAGAACACTGGATTGGAAATTTCAGTTCAACATCTGTCTGGAATTTTCAGGGTTTCTTTTTGTGGTCTGAGGCAATATGTCTGCCCCACTCATGTCCTACAAAGACACAAGTGAACTTTCTACTCACTCTGAACTGCCAGGCAGTTTTTTAAATTGATAATCCTTTTATCAGTTAAAATATGGGGAGAGATTGTTTCATTCTCCACCTCTGCAAATGGAGCAGAAGGAAGGACATTCTACGCCTGGGCAGTGTGGGAGACATGTGCTTGTAGTGTGTCCGTAATGCATCTGCTGTGTGTTTTGTTTAGATATGATCACACAAGGCCCTCTGCTGCAGCTGGTGGTGCTGTGGGCTCCATGCCCCACAGTGTGCCCTCCCCGGGCTTCCACAGTCCTCACCCTCCTTCCGACCTCACTGCACCTATTGTGAAAACTAACTTACATGAGCCTGGGAAACGTGAGAAAAGAACATTGGTACTTAGAGACCGAAGTGAGTGAGCAGAATCCTTTTGTTGTCTCTTTTTAAAAAGCAGTCTTGTCTTGTTTTTCATATTCCTTTCTGGTCTTTTGACAAGAGGGTTGCTAACCTAATACCCCTCCAACCTGTCTGAATGCAGTCACCAGATCTGTCCTGAGAATGGGCTTCATTTGGCTGCAGAATATTCGGATGGTGCATTTGGCCTTGTGCCCAAGGCTGGGCTGGGCCCTAAGTTTGGCAAAATATAAACAGTGACTTTTTTGTCAGCTTGTAACTACCGTCTGCATAGGGTTGTGGCCCAGTTCTGAGGAGCACCAAACTGTTCATTTCAAAGCTACATGTTTTGATAAAGAGCATGCATCACTATTTTACCTCTAGGTCAGTACATAGTCTTAGTTTTTATGCTGAGCCAGTGTTTGCCATTTTCAGTTGCACTTTTAGTAATAAGAATAGTATGTTGGGGTTTGGGGAGTGGTCTGTACCCTGGAACAGGATTTGGGCAGGAAGAAAGCTAAAAATCATAAAAGTTGTTTTTGTTGGCTGGTCCTCATCTGGTGAAGGGATTTCTAGATCTTGGAATTGTGTGATTTTAAGATAGGCAGATTCCATCCTAAGCAAACAAATAAGTGATCCAGTTAAATGTGTCCCCTCTAAAAAGGCAAGAGTGTGTGTAATGGGAAGGGAAGGGCTCCAGGTGTGAGAAGGGGAGGCCACAGGACAAATTTCACATTGACCCCAGGACCCTAAGACTCACTCCGGGTTTTCATTACTTCTGATTCACTTTAAAATGATACATAACTTGACTGGTATAACGGAAAACACTGTATTCTGTTGACCACATTCTAAATTTTTTTTTGACACACACACACACACACACACACACATTGATACATATATTTTCATATTAACTGATCCAAATGTTGACATTTCTATACTTGCTATTTTTAAATAGCAACTTTAGTGTTCTTTTGTATAAATATATCATGGTCTGTTTCCCTGTGTTAGTAACTATGCTTTTAAGTTAATGTCACTATGAACATTTTATGCTGTTCCTTTTATTTTTTCCCTCTTGGCCTGTTTTTTCCTATATGTTCCAAGAGTGAAATTCCCAAGGTCAGAGTTGCTTAATCTGTTAGGTTTTGACTAGCTGCTTACCAGAATGGCTGGGCCCGTTTTCATTTATATGTGTGCTGTGTGTTTTGTATTAAGATCTCTCTGGCATGGGTGAAGAAAAGGCTTGCCCAAGTGTGGTGAGTAATCCAGGAGGCAGTGATGCCCAGAGTAGCCCAGAGATGAAGCCGAATTCCTACCTTGATGCAATAAGGAGTGGCCTTGATTACTTAGAAGCCAGCAGCTCCTACAGCAGCGAGGAGCAGCTATGCCCCTATGCAGCCGCCGGGGAGTGCCGCTTTGGGGATGCTTGTGTCTACCTGCATGGAGAAATGTGTGAAATCTGTAGGCTGCAAGTCCTGCATCCCTTCGACCCAGAGCAAAGGAAAGCTCATGAGAAGGTAAAGTTACAAGACTGTATGAACTCATTTTAAGAAATTTGAAATGCACTATGTGACAAAATTGTTGGTATTTCTGCAAGCATCTGACTGCCAATAATATCTGTATTTTGTACCTGGCATATTTACACCCTATTTTCAAGTCCTTTTTCTATTGTCATTTGACAATTCTTGATTATTTAGAATAAAGGGAAAAGGAGAAACCTCAGAAGCATAAAGCTATGCAAAGTTCAGAAAAATAAATCTAGCCTCAGGAGCCTAGTGTGTGTCTGTCACACACATAACACATACATACCCTTCCTCCCTAGGTTTACATAGCATTGTGGCTATAATCTAGCCATGCTGAATTCTGAAAAATTTGAGGAGCCCAAATCATAGAATTTGAGGAGCCAAGTTTTGGAGGGGTCATTAGGTGCCAGTGTAGGAGGCACTGCCTCACAGTGGGCCCTGTGCTTGGCTCAGGGCTCTGCAGATGGGTGAGAGAGAAGGGGAGGAGCCCACAGCTGTGGTGTAGAACCCCTGAGTAGGAGCTCCCTGTATGTGGAGGTTGTGTCCGCCACTCTCCATTGTCTTCCCAGAGGTGTTCAAATGAGTGCAGAATTAGAGCTTCACCCAGGTGTGCTGAGGTCTTTGTGCTGTGCAGGGTGATTTATCTCACATCTGTGTCCACTGTGAGCACCGAAGGGCAGAGCCTCGGTCTTCGTACTCTTTTCAGACTGTAATGCCTGATACACAGCACTGTAAGTCACCTGCTTGCTGAATAAATGAATTCATTAAGTAATTTATTCTCTTGAGAAGTGGTGCTGCTTACCTCTGACTCTGTACTACCAGCCTGATATTTCAAGTTAAGGATTATTTGGCATTTCTGGTATTGGTGTGGGGAAGGCTGGTTCAGAGGAGCAAGGAGACCAGGGTCCCGGTTCTTGTGAACTCTGTGATCCCACACTGGTGCTCTAACCTTTGGGACATCCATGGCCTCAGCTCTAAATTGGAAATGACCATATCATGCTAGGAAAGCAAGGGGCTGGGCCAGTGATGGCTTGAAGTCCTTTTTGTGTTCTGAGAGAGTGCTGTATCCTGAATCCAGGGATTGCTGTACCCTGCATAAAACAGCCAGTCTGTGTTCCTTCCTGGTCTCAATTGTGGCGGTGTGGCTGGCAGCTGCCCCCTGGCTCTCCCTGCTACTCAGCAGCCCAGAACCTAAGGTTTCCCTCCTCTCTCTGTACTTCAGATCTGCATGTCAACATTTGAACACGAGATGGAAAAGGCCTTCGCCTTCCAGGCAAGTCAGGACAAAATGTGCAGTATCTGCATGGAAGTGATCCTCGAGAAGGCATCTGCCTCTGAGAGGAGATTTGGGATTCTCTCCAACTGCAATCACACATACTGCTTGTCCTGCATCCGACAGTGGAGGTGTGCCAAGCAGTTCGAGAACCCAATCATTAAGTAAGTACAGTAATGAGTCCTAGCTGTAGAAATGGGGGCGGGGGGGGGGGGAGGATGGGTGAGGGGGGGTTTGATCTGGAATCTTCTTTCATCCACTCTTAACCCCTCCTGTGTGTCTTCCAAAGGCGTTTCAATGCAGAGGATAAATTGTGAGTGCTGGCCCCAGGTGTGTGAACTTGGGCACATCACTACCCTTCCCGAGCCCACGTGCCTTTTCCTTTGATATGTGGTAACAGTTCCCACCAAGCTTCAGGGCATTGGAGGGACACGCAGCAGGGATCATCTGTGTGAGGTTAATGGCAATGCCTGTTTGAGCTCAGCACTAACAGTTACAGGGGGCTGCCCTTAGGCCCATTGCCTTTTTTTTTTTTTTCCAATTGCCTTTTTAAGCTTCATTTTTTCCATCTGTAGAATAGGGTTATTTGATGATTAAATGGAATAATGCATGTAAAACATGTCTGACAAACGTGATGTGCTCCATGAAGACAGTGTTGAGATATAATCCTATACTAATAAAAGACAAACATGCAAGTTGACCGTACTTTTGCTATGCCTTAAGCCACGCCCACCAGTCATTCAGAGCGACTATATGCAAATTAACCCAACCAAGATGGCGGCCGGTAGCCACGGAGCTGGAGTGAGCAGGAGGCTTGCTTGCTCCAGTGATGGAGGAAGCCAAGGTTCCCCACCTGCCGCGGCCCTGCTCTGAGCTCCACTCAAAGCAACAAAGTTTCAATTATAGAAGGTAAATAAACCCCAGATACCTGCTTTCAGCCAGCTTTGGCCATGGAGCTAGAGTGAGCAGGAGCCAGCTCTGAGCTCCACTGAAAGCAACAAAGTTTCAATTATAGAAGATAAACAAATCCCAGATACCTGCTTTCAGCCAGCTGTGGCCACGGAGCTGGAGCAAGCAGGAATGGGTTGCGCCTGGCGATGGAGGAAGCCAAGCTTTCCACAGGCCTCCGCTAAAGGCAACAAAGTTACAATTATAGAAGGTAAATAAATCCCAGAATAAAAAAAAATAAAAGAAAAAAAGGAGAGGCTGGGAGCTTACGTCGCCAGGGTGCTTGGCCAAACTGAAAATGACCCTCAGCCCCTCACCCAGCAGGCACCCCAGTGGGGACCCCCCCACCCTAAAGGGGGTGTGGACAGCCTGAAAACAGCCATCAGCCCCTCCCCAGGCTGGCCAAACCTCCATGGGGTGAGGGTCCCCACTGGGGTGGACATCCTCCGAGGGGACCCACACTGCAAGAGGGCATAGGCCGGGCTGAGGGCCCCCCCCCCTCCAGTACACAAATTTTTGTGCACCGGGCCTCTAGTTGATATATAACAACACAGGATTCTTAAATTCTACAGTGGGACAAGGTGCAGGGGAGAGCTAACTCATTGAGAAGTCACTGCATGCTGTGGACTGTTTTAAAAATTCTTCACACACTAACTTATACTTCTCTCAGAGACCCTACAATATTCCTCATTTTACAGATGAGCAAACAGGTATGAGCTCAGATAACTTGCCTAAATTTACACACATTTGTGTGGTAAAATAATAGCTTTATTGAGACAAAAGTATACAACTTAGTGTTTATAGTATATTCACAGAGTGTGTACAACCATTAATTACTACAGTCTAGTTTTAGAATATTTTACTATCTCAAAAAGAAACCTCTATTTGTAGTCATTGCCCATCCCCTCCCTACTCCCAGGCCCTGGCAACCACTAATTTACTTTCTGTCTTGTGGAACTATCCTAGACATTTCAAATAAAAGGAGTCTTCTACTATTTAGCCTTTTTGTATCTGGCTAACTCTTACACTTAGCATGGCGTTTTTAGAGTTCAACCATGTTATAGCATGTACCAGTGCTTCATTCCTTTTTATGGCCAAATATCTCTTTGTATGGATATCCACATTTTGTTTATCTATTCATCAGTTGATGGGCATTGGGTTGTTTCCATCTTCTGGTTATTGTGAGTGGTGCTGCTATGAATATTTGTATACAAGTTTTTTTATGGATACATGTTTTCATTTTTCTTGGGTAGATACCTAGAAGTAAAGTAGTTGGGTCATATGGTAACTATATTTAACATTTTCAGAAACTGCCAGACTATTTTCCAAAGTGGCTGACCCATTTTACATTCCACCAGCAATGTATGAGAATTCCAGTTTCTCCACATACTCATTAATACTTGTTATTGTCTTTATTTCTGATTTTAGCTATTCTAGTAGGTGTGAAGTAATTTTATTGTGGCTTTGATTTACATTTCCCTGATAACTAAGGATATTGTGCATCTTTTTCTCTGCTTTCTCAGCATTTCTCCAAAATGCTTACTCAAATCCTTTGCCCACTTTAAAATTGGTCTTTTCATTGTTGAGAAAAACATGTTTTTAATAGTAAATATGTTGGTTAGGAAACATCTGGAATGGTCATGCATTTGAGGAAGGGGTTAGAGTGTAGTGTGCATACTAATCGGCTCCATACTAAACTGATTCTTATTTCAGATCTTGTCCAGAATGCCGGGTGATATCAGAGTTTGTCATTCCAAGTGTGTATTGGGTAGAAGATCAGAATAAGAAGAACGAATTGATTGAAGCTTTCAAACAAGGAATGGGGTAAGTGCTTTGGGTTTGGGCATGATCCTGATGTCTGCCTTGGTTCTTGTTTTGGTCTTTGCCACCGCCTGCAGAGCCTCCCCTTCCCCCTGAGAATGTGGTCTTGGGAGCCTGTGGCCACTCAGAATCTCTTCCTTCTTTCAGGCATCATGCTAGGCTTTGCAGATGCAGAGATGAGCAAAGCCATGATGCAGTGGACTTGTTTTTAAGCTGAGGTTGACTTTTTATTTGTGATTATATCACCCAAGCATATTTTTTTTCCATTGATTTTTTTTTTTTTAATAGAGTTGAAGGGAGGGAGTAAAGTGGGGGTGGGTGAAACATTGATGTGAGGGAGACACATTGATTGGCTGTCTCCCACACGCATGCAACTGGGGCTGGGAAACAAACCTGCAACCCAGGTATAGGCCGTTGACCAGAAATCGAACCCACAATGCTTCAGTCTGCAGGCTGATGCTCTGACCACTAAGCCATGCCTGCCAGGGCCGATGTCTCTTCTAACAGGTGTGAGGTGATATTGTGATTTTGATTTGTATTTTGCTGATTAGCAATGTGCAAGCATCTTTTCATGGACTTGTTGGCCATTTGTATGTCTTCTTTAGGGAAATGTCTATTTAGCTCCTCTGCCCATTTTTATTTTTTTCCCCAAGTTAATATGACTTTAGTTGCAGTTTCAAAAAAGAAGTACATAGTTACATGTTGACTCCAAAATCTTTATTTCACTCATGATATTCTCATGAAGTCATATGATATAACTGTTTATTAGATATTTATTTTCACTTGTATGTTCTGATCTAACTTCATTAATAAATGAAATGGCTTCATAAAAAAATAAAGTACATAGGACATTGCTTTTCTCTCCCCAAGAGCGAAGCACTTATAAAAATCTATCTTTCTTTAAAAAGTCATAATTAGCCCTAGCCAGTTTGGCTCAGTGGATAGAGAGACAGCCTGTGGACTGAAGGGTCCCAGGTTTGATTCTGGTCAAGGGCATGTACCTTGGTTGCGGGCACATTCCCAGTAGGAGGTGTGCAGGAGGCAGCTGGTCGATGTTTCTCTCTCATCGATGTTTCTGACTATCACTCTCCCTTCCTCTATGTAAAAAATCAATAAAATATATATATTTTAAAAAGTCATAATTAGACTAGTACTTTAAGTAGTAACAAAAATGTTTTGTCTTTATTGTTGAAAGTATTACAGCCTGGCCGGCATGGCTCAGTGGTTGAGCATCTACCTATGAACCAGGAGGTCACAGTTCAATTCCTGGTCAGGGTCCATGCCTGGGTTGCGGGCTCAGTCCCCATGTGGGGCATGAAGGAGGCAGCCAATCAGTGGTTCTCATCATTCATGTTCTTATCTCTTTTTAAAACAAACAATACTTTTTATTTATTTTTTAATTTTAGAAAGGGAGAGAACCACTGATTGGCTGGTCCTCATTGGTCCCCCCCATCCCGCTCCTATACACCTCCCTCCACCCTCAGGCCTTCACCACACTATATTTGTCTGTATCCATGGGTTATGCATATATGCATGTAAGTTCTTAGGTTCATCTCTTCTCACCCCCTTCCCCCCTTTATGCCCATTTTTAAATGGATTGTTCTTGTTGCTGCTGAGTTATATTTGTTCTTTATATATTCTGGATATAACCCTTAGCAGATATGATTTATAAATATTTTGTCTCATTCAGTAGATTGCCTTTACATTTTGTTGGTTTCCTTTGCTGTGCAGAAGCTTTTAGTTTGAGATAACCCCACTTGTTTATTTTTTTGCTTTTGTTGCCTTTGCTTTTGGTATCAAATCCAAAGAGATTACTGGCAAGACCAGTGTTCAGGAGCTTATTGCCCCCTGTAGTTTCTAAGTCAGTGGTAATTGAGATCATTTCTCTAGGATTTCTTTCAATGTTTTCCCCTGGGTTTCAGCAGTTATATATTTTATGTAGGAGTCGTTTTCTTCATATTATGCTGCTCGTTGTTCTCTGAATCTATAAGTTTTTGTCATTCACCAAATTTACTAAATATTGGTTACTAAATATTTTCTCTACCTAATTTTTTTTGTTTCTGGTTTCTTCCAGTTATCTTTTGTTTCTTCAGGCCAGAAGGACTGGGTTTTTCCATGGCAGTTTTAGCCGCCCTTCATAGACACACCCAATTGTGGCCTGCTCTTGGCTAAAAGCTATTTTTTCTATAAAGATAACTCACCTCTTTGCCCTTCTTCTTGGTGTCTAATCTCTTAGAGAGTCCTCCTGCTGCTGTTCATCCTCCAGTACTTTCAGGGTTTTTAAAAATGTTTGTTTCTAGATATCTGCAAGAGGGCCAGGTCTAGAAGCTTACTAACAGCAAAACTATGTTACTTATAGGTTCTTTTTTTTTTTTTTTTTTTAACTGTTTTTATTGATTTCAGAGTGGAAGAAAGAGGGAGGTAGAAACATCAATGAGAGAGAATCATGGATCGGCTGCCTCCTGCATGCCTCCTAGTGGGGATCGAGCCTGGGACCCAGGCATGTGCCCGTGACTAGAATCGAACCCAGGATCCTTCAGGGTCCGCAGGTCTGTCCACTGAGCCTAACCGGCCAGGGCTATAGGTTCCTTTTTAAGTTGTACATTAATTACTAAAGGCTTGGTTTTTTCCTCATGTGATGTTATCATGTGTCCACCAGAGGGCAGGAGTGGCAAGGCAGAGGGTAGGAAGGAGGTCTGCTGGAAATGTTCAGAAATTCTCGTTATTGTTGTTTGGATCTTTCCTGGCCTCAGTTTCCATTGATATCGGTGCTTTTATGCATTCCACAAACACTGAGTACCCACTACATACCAGGCACCTTCAAGGTAACGCCAGTGGGGGCTATGGAATAGATTAGTAAATATAATTTCATGGAAAATTGCAAAAGGGCAACTATGATACAGGTTTTCTGGTGATAAATTCTTCATGAGAGGCCCAAGCCATATGTCACAAGAGGATGCACCTGGGTAGGAGTGTCAGAGAAACCTGAAGTGTGAATAGCCTCTCCATGTGTGTTAGAAGGTTGGGGGTGGGTGCACAGAATGACATGGGTGCAGGATGGGGAGCAGTGGAAGTGATCACTGAGGTTGAAAGAGGCATGTAGAAGGATTTGGGAGGACCTACCACAGGGATAATAGGGGACAGACTAGAGTCAAGTCTAAGGGGGGAAAAACAGGTGACCTACTATTTGGAGATGCTTCTCTGTGGTAGAGGTTGGAACCTGGTGGGAGGGGAGGCCAGTGAAGAAATGATTGACTGACAGGCAGACACCAGAGGATGGCACCCCTAAGGGCTTCAACAGTGTGGGAACTGAAAGGACAGGTCTGTTGGGGAGTTGCTCTGTAAGCAGAAGTAATAGTTGAATATGAGTGCTGAGGACAAAGGGAGTGAGAGTGATCTGGAGGCTTTTGTCCTTGGTGACCAGAAAAGGCTGGAGAAAGAAAAGCAGTTATTTTGCTAATAGGAACTAGAGAATAGTTTTGAATTAGATGTTTATTAAAGCCTGTGTCCAACTAACTCTGGTAAGAACACACTGCTTGAGCAGTCATTTCAAGATCTCAGAACCTCAGGGGCAGGGGGACCAAGGAAGGTGTCTGGTTTATCACAAACCTCTGCTTGAATCGACTCCCCTGCCGCCTGTCCTGGGATCAGGCCTGGTGGGAGTAGCGCCCAGGCAAGCAAGGTAGTTCCCTCCCCTCTGTGAAGAGGTGTTAGGGTCTAAGGGCCCTTCACCACTGGTCTTCCGCTGAGAAACCCAAGTTAGAGAGTCCCCCTTCTTTGTCGTCTGCCACCATTACATACCCTGGCTGCCCCCTGGCAGCAGCCCACACTTTCTGCAGTGATTTGGCTTTATTCTGCAACTTCCCTTCCTCAGCACCCCCGATAGACCTCTGGGTTATTGGGCTCTTCCTCTTCTTTAACTTAGGATCGTTTGTGAGAATTCCATTTGAGCAACATGAAATGGGAATTCTCTGATTGCGGTTTTCCTCAGGAGCAGAGGTTCTTAACACATTGTGGACCAGTAGTTTTATTGCTAGCTTTACCCAGTGGCCAGATAAGCTTCTATTGAACGAGTACAAAAACGTTTCACATAAATGTTAAAGGCATGCTTTATTTTAAATACCCATTGCATTTTGAAGTTATTTATTACATGTTCTTACAAGCTAATATCTTTTTAAAGAATTCTCGTGATTGGCCACAAGGCTTAGAACAGAAAACACGAGAATTCTCACGATCTGTCTGCAATGTTTTAACATAGGGGTCTGTCGCAAAGATAGGAAAAAAATTAACTTTTGATACCTGTATTTTGTGCATTTTAAAGAACACTAGAGGGTGGGGACCAAGGGAAATTGGAATGAGACCTGTAACTTTAGGCAGCTGCTAAAATTCACCCCTTCCCTTACACACACACACCCGTGACTCCTGTCATTGCTGGCCCAGAGAACAGCAAAGTTCCCTGGGTGGATCTCCTGTTGGGGGCTTAAACTGAGGCAGGTAGCCCAGCCTCAGCACCTTGGAGCCCATAACAGTTGGTCCAGAGGAATGAATAATAAAGTCTGTATTTCCTGTGGCCTTTTTGGAGCACTGCAGGCACAAAACAGTGGGGTACCCATGCAGGTTAAGTTCTGTATTGAGGGTGTATGTCACAGTGGGAATACCAGTATTATCCAGCTTGGAAGTCAGCGTCCCAACCTCTCTGAACTTCAGCTTCCCTCCCTGTAACATGAGGTTGACCCAATCCTAGCATTGTAGGCCCTAGATTCTCCCACCATCTTGGATTTTTTCTTCTGTTTTTCAGAAAAAAAGCATGTAAGTACTTTGAGCAAGGCAAGGGGACCTGCCCATTTGGAAGCAAATGTCTTTACCGCCACGCTTACCCTGATGGGCGGCTAGCAGAGCCTGAGAAACCTCGGAAACAGCTCAGTTCTGAAGGCACCGTGAGGGTAAGGACTTTGCCATCTCTAGTCAGGCACACTTACTGTGGGCATTTCCAGATACTGCTCCTGAGTTTTTCTCTAATAGTTAGGGCAACCAGAAATAGACAAAAGAAAAATAAGCTACTCAGCCTCCATATTGTCATTTTTAGTAACCAGGCATATTTTCTGGCTATTTTTGCAGTTCTTCAATTCAGTGCGCCTCTGGGATTTCATCGAGAACCGAGAAAGCCAGCATGTCCCCAACACTGAAGATGTTGACATGACAGAGCTTGGGGACCTCTTCATGCACCTGTCTGGAGTGGAGTCGTCAGAACCCTGAAGATAGATGGTTGCCCCTGCATCTTGGGCTCCGCCAGCAGAGCCTTTCCCAAGTAGGGTGTGCAGAGCTTCCTTTACTGCAGCCCCAGGTAGTGTGTTGCTTGGATTTGAGTGGGGTTGTATTTAACCTGGGCTCTCATCCATTCTCTATTATTACAGCCATGAGAAGAGTGAAGGATGTAAAGCTAACCTAACAAGTATATGGAATCACTACTTTTATAGCTGATATCTTAGTTACACCTCAAGCTCCTCGGGGGGGACCAGCTAAACAGCCAGACTGAGTTTTGATTGATTGCTTTTAAAACAAACTTGGCTCCTATCCTTCATGAGCTTTAGCTCCCTAGAAACTACATCAACTTGCAGTTGCCCCTAATGCAGATTTTTCTTACCAAAGGATTCTTCATCCCTAAAAATGATTCCTTATAGTGAATTTCCATAGTACTTTAGTGTGTGGTCAAAACCTGATCTAAACAGGGCTTTTCCAGAAACAAAAAATGGGCACTGCACGCCTTAGTGCCCCAGATCAGAGCAGGCGTCTCACTGTTATATAGTCAGTAAGCAAAGTATAAACCTTCTTCCTTGTAATGGGGGCTCTTGAAGTAGCAGGAAGTACGAGGTGATAGATCAGGAGTACAGCCCCTCATTTCTGGTTAGTATTGTGGCCACAATTGGAGGAAACCTTGCACATGTGCCTCCAGGAAAACATGTCCTTAGCTCTCCCCTGTGGGCGTGGTACACACGTGCTTTTTTATGTGCCGCCTGCCCAAACTGTCAGTCTTACCTGTAAAAAAACTGGTCCAGACCCATCAGTGGTCCTAAGCATGTATTTTTATCATCAGTTGTGATTTTAAATTGAAGGAGCATAATCTTGTGAATCAGAACAAACTCACTCTAAGCCTGAATTTACCTATTTTTATAAACAGTGATATCAAATATTTTGTAAAATGTATTAAAGTGTGGGTAGAAAAAAAAAAAGGTCTATTCTTACCTGAGTTTAGAGTGCTTTATGCATAATTTTTATAGTTAACTCTTTAGTGATAACACAGGCAAAGGCTGAATTAAATTCATTCCTAGCAGAGGCTCTGGGCCCATTTCGTGCTTCTTGAGTCCTGTTCCAGAAGGGATGAACAAATGGAGAGTTCAAGCTGTGAGCTTAACATTACTCTAAAAGGAAGAAACAGCCAGTAAGCCTACATTTAATTTATTTTATTAAAATAACATAATTGAGGAACCATCAGATAACTGTATTTTGTCAGGCGCAATAAAAACAAAATTAAAACCCAAATCATCAAGAAAACCTGTATTCCTGGCTTCCTTGCATACACATGACATGACTGTTGAGAGACAAGGCTGGCCAATGGCCCCACCCCATAGGGGCAGCTCCTGGAAGACAAAATTCAGCATGATGGAAGACTGCTCCCTGAGAGAGCGGAGACTTGGAAGGGGTAGGCCGGGCACCTCTTCTGGAAAACCATCCCAATGCATTGGAGACCTCCATGAAAAAGGAAGGTCCCCAAACTCATGTTCCATAGCACCAAAGCAGACTCCTTTAGGCGGCCATGGTCTTGACAGTCCTGGGCTGTTTGGTGCATTCATTATGTGCAAAACTACCTGTTGGGCGCCACACCACTCACCACTATCTCTGAAGAAAGTCCTTCCTGTGATAAGCATTCCACATAGGAGCTGATACTCAAAATCCACGTGTTCCCCCAAGACGGCTGGTTTGCCTACCTTCATTTTCCCTCCAAGTGCTTTTTCTTGCCCTAAAAGTACTTGTCTAGCCGATGGCCAGGGTCCCAGATCATATATTGCCATCAGCAGCCACTGGTGAATCTGGAGAAGGCTCAGCTCATGAGCATGGAGGATGCAGGCAGGGAGCAGAAGAAACCAGCATTGTAAATGGCTTCCTTCTCCCAGGACCAGAAAGGGTAGAAAAGAAGGCAACATGAAGTAAGGCCTTGTGAGTAGTCTAGAAGGTCCTTAGCAGCAGCTTCTCTGAAAACAAACTCTGCTCCCATAGAAAGGGAGCAGAAAGATGGTGCCTGCTGACTTCCCTTTCTCCCCTGGTGGCCTGAGTACAGGTGCAAAGTCAGCTAGAAGACAGGCAGTCTAGGGGACGTGGTCAGTGTGCAGGCATTGATATCCTCGGTGTGGGCTGCCCGATGCAGGGATGGCTCAGAAGCGCTCCTGTTGATTTTCGGTAGAGAGTGCTGGAGCAGCTCAATGGAAGACAGGATCTGAAACAGAGCCACAAAATGGTGTGGGCCTTGGTGTTTCCACAGCAGCAGCTTTCAATTAGGAATCCAAAGACACAAGCTGTTACCACCCCACCTGTAACATCTTGTGGAGAACACCAGCCCTTTCCTGTTTAACCAGTTAACTGCCATGATACTTTGAATTAAAAAAGGTCCACCAGCTTGCGTCTATAGACACTTACAGTGTACAAATGTCTTCAAAAAACAACCCACCATCATACTTCCTCATCATGAAAAACTGCTTCAGTTTAATCAGGTCCAGCACCTTTGAGCTGAGTCTTACCTGGGGGAAAAGAGGCCTCTCTTCCTTAACTTTCTTCACACAGTCAGCTACAAGCCGCTTCATTGCTTTGGGGCAGTTCTTGTATAGCTTACTAAGGTCTGGGGAGGCATACCCTCGGCCCACCATGAAGATGATCTAAGGAAAAGAAAACAGTTGAGTGAATGGGTGATTAATACTGAAAGCAGCAACTTCCAACTCTCCAGCTGCACAGACTGGCAGGAGGCCCAGGAGCTTCCACAGCAAGTTGGGCCCTTCACTGGCAATGCACGTACCTGGTCTCGGTTGTTGATGTGAGAGTAAGGGAGCTCCCCTGTCATGAGCTCATACAGCACAATGCCGTAGGAGTAGACGTCGGACTGGAAGCTGAACGGGTTATTATCCTGCATTCGGATCACCTCGGGGGCCTACAGGGACAAAGTGCATTCCTCACCATCTGCACCCAGCACACCCAGGGTCCAAACTATCCCTTCCATTGGGTATGAGAGTCCTGTCCTCTGTCCTCTATAGCTCTTCCCTAAAGGGCCCCCCTGACACTCTCAGGGGCTGGCTAATTTGAGCTCAGAAATCCTCGTCTCTGGGATCTAGCACTTCCTTTCACCTAACACCTCCAAGCTCTATGCTTCAGCATGGTTCTCATCACCAGCTTCTTCCAGGAAACCCAAATTCACCCCAGGCTGTCTGATACAGAAAGTGTCAATGAGGTGGCCTGGACTTTGGGGAAATGTGGAGAAACGCTTTAAGTTTTAGACACAGACCTGCAGGGCACCCCTTCTTCCCTGTACCCTCCTAGTGAAGCCATGCCTCCTCACCATCCACAGGATAGAGCCGGTGGGTTGTTCAACCTGCTGAGAACCACTCCAGCGCGACTTCACTGTTGCCAAACCAAAATCTCCAATTTTTACCGTCAGGCCTTCATGGAGAAATATATCTCAATGCTTGTTAAGGACTCTGGTTTCAAAACACTGGTCAAGTTAATTTTGAAAAACTTACCAAAGTTCTTACTAGCACAGCATCTCTCCACCTCCCATCTGCCCCCAAGCCTGCTCTGCACTGGATTTGCTTGGGTTTCCAAAGTTTTAAAAAGTACTTTTGAAATGCCCCTTCTTCCAGGAGGCATGCAAAGAATGCTTGGAGTGCAAAATTATTTGGCTCCAGCCCCAAACAAGGTTGTTTAGCCCCTGCTGCTTCTCCCCATTTACACATCTAGGTGCCAGGTCCCTGGCCTGTGACCTTCCCACATAATGTAGGTGCCTGAAACCGCAAGACTTAAGACTGCAGGTGCGCCTCAGAGCTATGCATGACCTGCTGATTTGTTACATTCGTTTCTCCCAGCATTCTGCTCTCAAATGGCACGTGGATAACAATATAGCAAATCACTCAATAAATACTGAATGTCCTAAGACATTTCTCATTAGAACAGGTAGCACCTGATGACTTCAAAATCAGAACCAAACTCACCTCATTTCTGGGAAGTCAGGCAGTTTAAGGCTGCCTTGTGATCTGCTGATGCCCAGTAATTCACACCACCTTAAGGTCTGGTATCTGCTTTCATGGCATAATGTATTGGTCCCCCAAAAACCACTAAAAAGTATTCCATGCCTCATACATGTACCCCAAATAAGCCATGTCCCATAATCAAACTCAACACAACTGTCATGCCTGTCATGGCCAAGAAGCAGAACTACAGCTGTAATGTTACACTCCTTTCCAAGAGGAAAGGTGGGAGAGAGAGAGAGATGTGAAATTGCTACATTTCATGTCTAAGTGTGAAAAATGCCTTAATTCATTATTTCTACAAAAGCACATTAAACCTTAGAAAGGATAGAATTGATTCTAATAACCTCTAAGGAAACTATTTCTGTACATTTAAAACACAATTACAAGTAGTAATTCTGAAAATCTTACATTTGGCTTCACTTATGTTCTGACGAGATACACACTATCCACAAACTAGGGGGGGGAAAACAAGACAAAAAAGCCCCCACCACCACCCAAGTTAAATTTAGTAATAAACAGCATAATAAAAAAACTAAACCTATTTCACGCATAACCAAAACACATATCTCACTCTTGTGGAAATCTTTCCAAGGTCACATTTTGCTGAGATAACTTTGAAATGACAGTCTCCCTGTTTTCCTAAATGGACAACTAAGCAGTCAACCACCAAAGGATACTGTTGGATTTCATGTCTCTGTGGATGATGTTCTTTGCATGCAAGTAGCTGTGAAGGGAAAACAGTGTAAGGGGCATGGCTAGAAAGCAGCTTCCAACTACTACTAAGAAGCAAACCACCTGAAGGCCTGGCTCCCAGTGGAGCTACGTTTGGGGATGGGCCCTGCGATGGTCAGGCAGGGCCACGTCGTGCCTTACCCTGAAGGTAAAGACTATAGCAAAATGGAGCGACTCTTTAAGCATCAATTTTAACCAAAAAGTAATTCTCACAACCAAAATGCCCCTTAACTGATTAACAAATAAAATGAAGCAAATATCCATATAATGGAATATTATTCAGCCACAGACAGGAATGAAGTACTGATATATACTATAATATGGATGAACCTCTCAAAAACATGCTCAGTGAAAGCAGCCAGACACAAAGGATCTCATGTTATATCTTGAAAATATTCTAAAATAGTGATGATTGTACAACTCTGAATATATTTTTAAAAAAACACACATACTGAGTTGTACACTTTAAAGGGGTGAATCTGACGATATGTGAATATTTTTAATTTTTTCCTAAAAAGTAATTGTGCTAGTTATTTCCTAAAATGTAAGGTAGAAAATGAGCTTTTCTACAGCACTTACAAGCACAGCTTAGCTTAAGCTCCCAGGTATGTGGTGGTATGAGGAGTACACGCTCCTCCACGTAAGGTACTTCAGAGGAAAAGTTTCAGAAGCACTGCTCTGGGCTAGCCACGAATGGAAGGAATAAACACCTTTCACAAAGAAATGTGTCAAGCACAGAGACACAAAAGGGTAGTATGTAATGGGGGCGCTGAGCATGACCTTTAAGCATTATCCTAAAAGAGACATCTAATGCCCACTCCCATAGCTGTAAGGCTGGGTGGCTGGACTTCGAGGGCAGTGGCTGAAAACGGAATATGAGTCCCAAGACAGCAGCCTCAGCTTGGACAAGGAACATGAAAGTGTCATTCCCATACCAGAGGCTTATTTTCAGCTGTGCCAAAATATCACAGAAATCACTTAACAGACGTGGCTTTTCCTAATCCTGATTTAGGGACAAGTTGATGCTTGGACCCCGGACTTTGTAGTCATCAGGCCATCTACTCACTCCATTCCCTGAGCCGTCTGCCGGGCAATGTCAATCAACTGGAACATCTGGAACTTGGTCTCTTGGACATGCAGGTGTTTGTAGAGGCTGCTACCCTCACACCATTGGGTCACAATCGCCAGATTATCCTTCGTCATGTACCCCATAAAGAGCAGAATGTTCACATGCCGTGTTTTGCTGGAGGAGGGAAGAGAGAAGGCTATGAACTGTCCCTTGTTTCAGATTCAGATCTACTCTGCTTCCTCACTGACAGCAAATCCTGTATGTTCTTGACACCACCCGTGCTTAAAATCTGGGTGGCTGGCAAAACAATCCATTTGGTGTTCTGAGCTGTCAAGGGAGCCCACCAAGACTCACGATTCACCTCACTGCTGGCCTTGTTTGTAGAAAGGACATTATCTTTGTGCATTCACGATTCTCCCCACAGGGGTTAGCAGGAGCCCTCATTGGTGGAATTCAACATTATCCAACTTATTGCTACAAGTCTAAATAGTGACTCAGAGATTTGAAAGCTGAAGGTTTGCCATCCAGAATTAGAAAACTTGGCCATAAGAAAGAGCTCATGAAAATAAATGTGAAATGGAACCTATTTCTCCCTACCTCAAACCAAAACTCAAGAAACAGAACCTGGGCTACTGAGTATAGTGTGCCCAGAGACCTAAAGCAGTGGAGGCGTTCTGCTCATTCTAAAGGTTTGACAACCACATAAGCAGGAAGGAAACCTTTCACTTGAAAGGGAGGAGTTTGAACCACAGGCCTCCACAGTGAACTCTCACTAACCACCAGTCCCAGCCATAGACCCTCAGAGACAGGTCTACACCATGTAAGCCCACTTACTCCGTGGTTTGTGTACCACCACCAGTCCCCACCCTTGCCACTCCAGGGGGGCCAGACAGGCCAGCTTTCTACTCACCGCAGGACAGCCACCTCATTCCTGAAGGCCTGAAACTGCTCTGGTGTGGGGTCAACAACCTTTAGGATCTTTACTGCAACGTCTCCTGCAAATTAGTTTGTAGTCAGTATAATCAGTTGAATGATCTTACTTTATTTTTCATAGACCCTAGTTTTGAGATACAGTGAATCATTTATTCAAAAATCATATACCTAGAAAGATGGAATATGCAAAATTCTAAATTATTCAAGTGACTGAAAAAAAAGTTACATAGGTTACACTACTATCCTTTAAATACCACCCCCACAAGCCCTGGCCGATTTGGCTCAGTGGATAGAGCATTGGCCTGCAGACTGAAGGGTCCCGGGTTCAATTCTGGTCAAGGACACATGCCCAGGTTGCGGGCTCAATCCCCAGTGGGGAGCCTGCAGGAGGTAGCTGATCAATGATTCTCTCGTCATTGATGTTTCTCTCTCCCTTCCTCTCTGAAATCAATAAAAATATATTCATACATACATACATACCACCCCATAGGACTGAACAGACTTGGTTTAAACTATTCCTAGAAAGCCCGGCTTCCTGAGGTAAGGGCATGTGTGACAGGTCACACAACCTGGGCCTGTGAGGATGACATCAGTGGGTGGACATGAATGGCCCAGCAGATACTGAATCTTTGGGGCCAAAAGCTGGTGCTAGGAAGGAGGCCATTTAGCAAGCAGTTGTTAAACTTAGCAGCCACATTTCAATGAGACCTCAAACGGTCCATTGTACAAATTCAAAGATATATATTGAAATTAAGCTCCTTTGCTTTCAATACCATTAAACAGAATTCCTAACGATTAATAGCGATTGCTTACTATATCCTTCCTGGCACGGTGTGTGTTTTCGCAGGCATTATTTCATTTAATCCTCACAGTTGCCTTATGACATACATACTGTTATCCTCATTTTACAGAAAAAGTTTATAGCCACTAACCAAAGTGCTGGAATCAAGATAAGATAGAACTCCCAGTCTGACTCCAATGGCTACTTCTAACCATAACACTATCAAGTTACTGTTAATCATTATCAATCACTGTGCCTCTCTATTACCTTAGAAATATCTATGGATCATTTCTACTTTATATGTGCTACCAATTTAGAAGCCAATTTCAAAAATGCTTTTATGTTATATTTATCATAGAAATTATACTAAGTTACTTGAAGCCCTATTAGGACCTCGGATTTTCATGGCAAATGAATTTACTAACACAGCCTTCTGGCGATCGAATAAAGTAGGAGTCAGTTGAATGGCACCTTGGAAGTGATAGTTCCTCCACCTATCAAGCACATCATATCCTTGCAACCTCTGTTGGAGCATTCCTTACTTCACTTTTGGGGAGCACCAACTGGTAGATAGTTCTTGCGACAGGTCCCAACTGTTGCACTGTGATCTCTGGTTTTATCAACTAAAACTAAAGTCCCCACTTAACAACAGCCTCCACACAGGCTTTCATCCAATTCACTGGCACCAGTGTTTACCAAGGGGCCGGGGCTGCCTGTGAAGTTGCTGCTGACCTGGGATGGGAGGTGTACACTATATTCAGAGCTGCCTTCTATCTAGGAAGATGGAGCCAGTAAACCATGAAGCCCCAACCTCAAGTTCCTTATGACTGAGTAGGGTTAGCATAACTGCGCATCTTGGAGCATTTGAGCCAAGAAAGGTATGAGGAACAGGTAAGGTAAGGAGGGGAGCGGTGAGAGAAATATGAGCTGTGTTCAGAAAACTCTAGCTTGGGATTTGGGCACCTGCAGGATAGGAGAGAAGCCAGGAAGGAGTCTGCTACAAGAGCCCAGGTAAGATGCAGGCACAGTAGTGGCATGGGAATGAAAGGAGGGGGTGGAGGCAAGAAGCCCTATGAAGGTAAAATGATCCATGTGGCAGCCAACTGAGTGGCAGGGCTAGGATATGGCAGTGCTGCTTGCCCAGGCACTGGGCAGAGCTTAAAAGGGACAGGCCAGGGTGGGGTGCAGGAAGAAGGCTTGGGGAGATGCTGTATTGTTCCTCAGGACTTTCCTAGTTCATGAGCCCTTCCCTTTTTTACAGCTTTCTTCCAGACATGCTCCAGTTGCCACTAAACTCATCCCCAGTGGCACCAATTTTAGACCTAATCTGTAATGCAACCTTAGAGCTTAGAGGATTCACTGGGAGCCAAAGCTTTGCTCACAGTGACTCACTTTCCTGGTAGTCAGCTGATCATCCTTCACCTCTAGCCTCCGTTTTTCGGAAGAGTTAACAGGGATAATTAAAAGTTCTTATTTTCTTTGTTCCATCATCACAGCCCGTTCAAATCCACCCATCTCTCTAAATTCTATTATCCAAAGATATATCACAACTCTGTGTGAGACCCACAATACCTGAGTCTTCATGCAAGTCATTGAACAGGGTCAAAGGCAGTCCTATGGCCCCCACAGAGATGCATCTGCCAGCCAGCTTACAGTGAACAGTTACAATAACAGATTGTTTGTAAATTCTCACTGAAACCAGAGACTCTATATGACCCCACTTCATTTACATGTAAATATTCTAAGGATTTCCATGATAGGCAGTCAGTCTGCTAGAGACAATGGACAAGCATAGGAAAATGGAGTTCAACTCATATAAAGAACAGTTTTCCAAAAACAAAACAAAACAAAACAAAAAACCAGTTTTCCACTTGGTAGGAACTGCCTAGAGTTGGAATGATTTCTCGTGGGATCCTACAACCTCCACCCTCAGACCTCACTCCTATTAGCCTTTCCCCTCATTTACTCAACTGAAGCCATCAAGGCCAGGTGAGTGGCCCACTTTGCACCTGCTGCTGCTGCTGCTTTCCCAGGTACCTGCACCACCCTCAGGCTTCATACAAATGCCATTTCCTCAGCAGACTCCTCCCCTACCAATCTACAAAAACTGAACTGGGCCTGCCACTCAATACCTGCTTTCCTCCATTTTTCTGCTTAGCACTTATAATAATACACTATATACTTTACTTTTCTTGGTTATTGTCCTCATCAGAATATAAACTCCATTAAGAGAAAGAATTTTTATCTGTTTTGTTCACTGCTTCATTCCTAAGCCCCTACAAGAATGCTTGGTATTAGAAGAATGCTCAGGAAGCATTGCAAAGGAATGAATTCTAAGATGCAACTGTAAGCAAGATAAGTTATGAATTAACAAGCTGTCTGTCTGAGGCTCTGGAGTGGGAAGTGGGGACAGCCTCTGGTGGGTACACTGAGGACTTAGCTGTTCGCAGCCCAGGTTCAGAATCAGTTTCTGGCAGGTAAGTCAGGACTCAGGGCCCAGCCTAAGGCCCCCAGGCAAGTCTATAGAATTAGGTCCCGGCTCAAATAGACTGCTCTCCAAACTATCCAAATACCTTTACAGCTGGCAATCTTCCAACATCTAAAGGACGGTACTTTATCATATTAGCAAGTAATATGAATGACAAAGGTAGTCAGCCTTTTTATGGAGGGTAGCTACATGAAGTAGTTAACCAGAACTCCTTACTTTCCCTTAATAGTAAAGTCAGAAGCAAATATAGTACAAATAAGTTAAGACCTGTTCCTATAGGTTGTGTTTTTAATGAGATGTTGATATCTCATTCGTCACTGGAGAAGAAGAGCTGTTATCATTGGTAAATTTGGAATGTTTTTAACCTTTTTAAACACCAATTCATTTCCCCATTGGGACTGTCTAAAACTTATACACACACCCTGATTTCTAGAACAGAATAGAACCAACACCATTCCTCCTCTTATTGACTCAGTGAAAGTTATAAACTTCAGTGTTAGGCTGAGATGGGGATCCCCAGACAAGGGTTATACCAGACTGCTTGCCTCACACTAAGTGGCCTAAGACGGTTCTCCAGTTGAGAGATCTGCTTGAGGGTTTTGCTGCCTTCTTCTCATGCTGTCAGTGATGGTCCCTGCAATCAGTCTACAGCCTCTATTGCTACCTTCATTCCCTTTAATGTGTTGTTTGTATTGAGCAGAGACTAACAAATCAGACCCCAAACTTGTGCTTAAGAGGAGGCTCTGTACTTGAAACCCCAGGGCCGCCTCTTTACATAAAGTGAGTGAGCTTTTAGTTCATGGATCCGAGGTCTCCATCTCAGCTGCTTTGAGACCCTTCTGTTTACTTTCACACCTGCTAGGCAGAATAAAAAATTTTCAAAAATCATCAAAATAGCTCTCACTAATAAATTGAATAAAATAGTGTATACAGGAACCAGGAAAACAGTAACAAAGGGAGTGTCAGGGAGAGTACAGCACAAAACACTCAATCTAGAAATTGTTTCCTTGACCCATTTTTCTTTTTTATTCAGAGATCATGGCTCGCTTTTTGAGAGGCTGACTTTTCAGACTTTAAAAAACTAGAATCTTATCGATCAGACTGTCAAACCTCAGAGGGAAGGTAGGGGAGGGTGGGGGTAAGGGGGAGAGATCAACCAAAGGACATGTATGCATTCATATAAGCCTAACCAATGGACACAGACAGCAGGGGGGTGAGAGCATGAGTGGGGGGCTTGCGGGGGGGGGGGGGGTAATGGGGGGATGAGGACACATATGTAATACCTTAATCAATAAAGAAATTTAAAAAATAATAAAAAATACAACTAGAATCTTAAAAGCATTAGACATTATCTACCTTCTAACAGACTTTATGGCAGTAACACTATAACAAATACATCTTATCACAGTCTAAAAGCTCACATGATTGAGAAAAAACACAAGCTCATAAGCAGAACTGTGGCAAATCTAACTAATGCTTTAAAAATTATGTGCTCAATCAGGAAACTTAAATTTGGGCACAATTTACACTGCATCTATTGGCTTTTAGCAGATGCTTTAAAAAAATGAGGCATAAAAATGATTCAATGCTCCTAATGGAAGCATTAAAGCAATAGTCACTGCTCTAACTCCTGCAATTACTCTCAGCCTTGTCTCAGGTACAAGCACCTCTCTCCTTTCCTAAGGGATCACTTAGACATTTGGGACATCCATCTGGATAATATTCTGCAAGAGTGTAATTTCTCAGAGACCCACAGGCAGGCCACTAGTATATTACATAGAATTTTCCAAGGAAAAGGAATCATCCTACATGTAATTTACAAACATTCACTCCTGTGCCAGTCCCTTAAAGGAGAAATTTGTCAGAATAGTTACAAGTGGCAAACTCATATTCGTGAACTTAAGGTTCAAGTAATATTGGAGGTGTTTCTTCGTTTTCAAAACCTTGAATTTTAATGCTCTGTTCACGTGATGCTCTTAACCTCTCTCAATCTTTGCCCATTTACAAATAAAGATAATATGGGAGCATCCAAAGTAGAAATATAGGCATGTAGGCACTTTAGGTGTTTTTACTTTTTGTTTGCTTGCTTTGGTTTTTTTGCTTTTTAAAAATCTGAATTTATAAGAGATGTCTATTTAGGAACATGTAGCGTTTTAAAAGGCAGTACTTCTTAGGTTTTTAATGACTCGAGTCATTAAAAACCTAACAGAAAATGCCAAGTATTTAGTTGCCAAATATACAAGTTGTGGCTACAGACATTGCAATAGTACATTTCCTTCCAAGAGAAAAAAGTGTTTCCATTAGAATAAGAATACTAACAACTCCATAGATTCAAGAAGTGAGCCTTTGAAAGCTTCCTTCCCTATTTGATTGGGATTCCCACAGCCAATCCCAGGGCAGAGCAAAGAGAAGCTGTTGCAGGAGGCTCCTGGCTGTCCTGTGCCCAGCTGTTTGACCAGGGGCATGATGGTTCCCCTCTCAGGACCTGTTTTCTTACATGTAAAATCTCTAAGGTGCTTTCCAGCTTTAAGTTTCTAGAATACATGCTCCCCTCATAGCAGCAGATTCTTACTCATTTAAGAAGCTTCAAAGCATGTCCCTCATGCAGCCTGTATTTAATCCCATGTAATAAAAGCCTAATATGCAAACTGACCAAACAGCAGAATAACCAGTCGCTATGACACACACTGACCACCAGGGGGGTAGATGCCCAACGCAGGAGCTGCCTCCTGCCCACAGGCCCCAGGCCGGCCAAGGTGGGTGCCAGTGGGGGCCCCTCGATCGCTCGACCGGTCGCCCTACAGCTTGGGCCTGATCGCCAGACAGGCCTAGGGACCCTACCTGTGCATGAATTTCATGCACTAGGCCTCTAGTCCGTTTATAAGAAGATTCCCTGACGTTTAGGGCTCACCTCTTGTTCACCAATTTCTAATTATCCTGACAACCTTATACCAATTACAGCATTGTGGAGTCTAAAATGAATGCTATGAAATCTCACTGAAATATTAAACTCAATCTTCAGATGTAATCCAGTATCCCTACGCAGCGGTTTTCAACCTGTGGGTCGCGACCATCGGAAAACACATATAGCATATCAGATATTTACATTATGATTCATAACAGTAGCAAAATTACAATTATGAAGTAGCAACAAAAATAATTTTATGGTTGGGGGTCACCACAACATGAGGAACTGTATTAAAGGGTCATGGCATTAGGAAGGTTGAGAACCACTGCTCCTAGAGAGCGCTGCTGTGAGCTACAGAGCTTGCTGAATCCTATCCCCCTCCTATGCTCTCTGTACTGAAACTTGACTTCATCCCTTGAAGTAAAGGCCCCAAACTTACCATGCCACTTGCCCTTATAAACAGTGCCAAAGGAGCCTGACCCAATCCGAGTGGAGAGCATCACTTCACTGGCTTCTATTTCCCAGTAATAACTTGAATCTCTCTGTCCACGAGGCCTCTGAAACAATCAGATATTAAATACATTCCATGGAATGGTAAAGGTCTATTTAACAAGGGTTTCAAAGAAAAGATCAACTCCATCTATTCTCATACCTTTTAAAGATAAACATATTAACTATAATTCCAATTTTTATTTTTCAGAAAATACCACCTTAGTTGCACCCTCCCTTACAACCAGCCAGCAAGTTTTCCTAATGCAAGCATACCAAAAATGGCACTGACATTTATAAAAGGATTCATCAAATGTTTTTTATTAGAGTCCCCTGCCTCCCAAAATTAAAAGCATTCTCATTTCTAAGTTTTTCTTACTGAACCCTAACCTGCAGGAGATACTTTGGCCATACTCACAATTTTGTTTTTCTCCTGGGTCCCAGATCCTGGTGCCCGCTCTCTCTGTGCTGGCACAGGGGTTTTGGGCTGTGACCAGCCCGTTGGGCTCAGATTGTTGGGGCTGCTGGACAAGGCTGAAGGTGAGGCTTAATAGACAAGATAAACAAAATCCACACATGGATAAGCCAAAAGATGATACACAACATTAAGAGCAAAAACCCATTACTATTTGCTAAGACTTTGGACAAGTACCTGATTCACTGTGACTTCGGATTGCATCCTGAAACAGAAAAGGAAAGCTGGTCAATTTCGGCACTAGAAAAGATGTTCTCTGGGGAAGAGGGAGGGGAGGATTTGCAAGAACAAAGTAGATGACAAAATTTCTAAAATACAGTCTAATTATACACTTTCCTTCAATTAAATTCACCAAATGTCACTGCCTAATACTTCTAAGATTGTTATCAAATATTAGGAGGACTGATGTTAATTTTTCATATATGATGAAAACCAAATTATCTCAGAAGAAGGCAATGCACACAGCAAACATACACTTTAAGGAAGGCTAGCAAAGGTACTATCAGCTAAGATCTTTCTAATGCTTGGGGATCTTGCTCCTGTAAGGCAACAAAAAAAGTGGGGATTCAGTGGCAAGCTCACTCTTACTCCTGTAGGAGTTCATCAGGGCACATTGGCCAGAAGCTGGATTTGATACAAGTGAGCCATGACTTTATCACTTTATCCAAGCCTAAAAATCACGGAAAGATGAAAGGATCATAATCTCCTAGTCCAATACTTACATTTTACATATAAGAAAACAGTGTAACAGGTCAAAAGGCCTGGCCAGGGTCACACTGCCAGTGAGTGGCAGAACTAAAACAAGAAACGGTCACGAGGGAATCTCAGTTCGTTCACCACAAAATGCTCTTCAGACCTTATGGGTAAGCTCTGAAATTAGTTACTCTCTATGTGGGTAAGACGTCAAATGCTATCTGTAGAATTTATCACAAACTGGGTGAAAGTTAAATCACAAGGCCCTCCACAAGACCTAAGTACTCAATTTATATATCCTCACTTAAGAGTATATAAATAGTAACAATATAAAACCACTTGGCCCCCACATCCTCAAAAAGGGTGTTTTTCTGGGAAATCCTATTCTCTTTGTTCTCTCTGTGTCACCATAGTTAAGGTAAGATACTTTTTTTCACACAACTATTACTGGAATGCTGCCACTCCGTAACATCTTCACAAGATTTAAAGAAAAATCATAAACCAAGTTGCCCTTCCTGGCCTTTGGCAGCCCCACCAAAGCATCTTCACAGTTCACCAATAAAGCCTGGATCTGGGGTCCCACACCTGGCAAGTCTTCAAGAATCACCTAGAGAGGTGTTTAATGTCACAGATTCCCATCCCCACTAGGACTGAGTAAGCATGTTTGGGAGAGCAGGTGGGAAGTCCAGGAATTTGTATGGTTTTAAGTACAACAGGATGGCTGCCAGGAGGGGAGAATATTGGCCAAAAATAAACCTGAATTTTATTAAATACGCAGCAGCTACAGCTTTATTATCCAACTAATCTATTACTTGTTTTTAGTTAAAGCATGGCACAATGTATTTTATTGACCAGGATTATATTCCCATACACTAGGATTTTTTCTTAATGTCACAGTAATTTTCTTCCTTATATCTATTCTATACAGCATATTTTATTCTGTACTATTATCTACAGTTGGACTGATTTATCCTAAAAGGGACCTTTCAAACATCTTGGAATCTAAATATTAAAGCAAGAATGTATACTTTAAGAATGCTGAATCATATGTGATAAAAACAAATCAGAATTTGCTATCTCATGTTTCTCTCTCCCTCTCCCTTCCTCTCTCTCTAAAATCAATAAAAACATATCCTCAGGTGAGGATTAAATAAATAAAGTACAGAGAGGATTAAGCACATGGCAGTGCTGGTTATTTTATAGTAAAAATTAAAAAATTTTCACTTTTAATGTTTCCTTTAAATACTAGAGTATTTACACAGGAACAAATCATATAGAAAAAATAAGTAACGGATATATTACCATATGATTAACAGGGCTAATTATGATAAGAAATAGAAATAAAATTCACAGCTTCTATACACATGACCTCCTCACAATAATCCTGTGATACTCGAAGTGTGTCCCTCCTGACAAATGACTACTTAGACCCCATATCAGAAGCCAAGTTTTTTGTTGAGTTCCTGCCGCCTCTGATTGGCAGGACAAGTGATTTGAGGGTTGAGTGAGGTAAGCTGCGCCTGAAGTGGCAGGTATCCCTGAGGTTCTTCAAGGAACAAATCATGATGTAGAGAGAGCAGTTATCTCTGATAAGTTTTAACAAAGGATTTTCAGGGCATATCAACCAAACTGACACATTTGGTTTTTAAACAAGGTATAAATAGAATAGTGGTGCTGTACCAACCAAATAAATCTAGCTAGCATTGGTCTTGGATTGGAAATGATTTAAAAAAATTTTAATGCCCTTAGCTTCAAAATCACACTTGAGAAACTAATTTCACCTGTCAGCAATACCACAGACAGTATTTTTTTTACTCATATGTGCTCTATTTCCAAAAAAGAAAAAGAACATGAAAGCAAGTCTGACAATAAATATAAAATTTAACTTAGTGATTGTTTTCTTTCTGATAGTCTACTATCTTGACAGTCTTAGCAATCCTGTTAATTGACAAGAAAGCAAAGGCATAAAGAAGAATACCTACTCTTCCCCTCAAACAAAATCCTCTGGACCACGCCCTGGGAGAAGCATTCAGGCTGTTATTCTAGTCCAAAGCAATGAGAAATAAAGAAGAATGAAGAACAAAGGAAGTAGTTTTAAGTGTATTCAGTTGTTATTAAAGATGAACTAGAAAGCAAACCAAACAAATAGAACATACCAAAAGCCAAGAAAAGAAAAGGCAGTTTGAAAGCACTAGCTTTGGGCACTTTTACATCTCCCTAAATACCTGCTTATTAAAATCCTGACCACCCTTTGATTTCTAAATTAAAACATTTAAAGTCTTTCAGAGTTTGTAGTTCTCCATCACTATTATTTCCTTTCCCACACCAAAATGAAACTACTTATTAGCTTATTCACTAGCTCACTGAAATCCTATTCAAATCTAACATGGAAAAAATGAATTCAAGTGTTAACATTTCTTCAGGAAATTTTAGTTCTCCACTTGAATGATATACCAACCAGATTACTCAGCCAATCTAAAGATGTAGTGGATAAAAAAGAAATTTAAAAAGTTCAGAGATCTGAGAAAGTGCTTATCAGATTTGAAACCCAACTCTCTGGCACAACAGTCAATCCCACCCGAATTGACTGATTCCCATCACCACCCACAGGGCCCTATTGTTACCTCAATCATCCTGCTGTCCACAGGTAGGGTAGTGCTGACCATGTGGACATTAGGTGTGGATGTCGACCTCTGCCTCTGCGAGAGGGAACCTTCAGAGGAGGGGCTGGAGGTGTTGAATGTAAAGGCGTGGGGCGTGGAGTATCTATGCTGGGAACTAAGTGAGGAGAAGAAAGACAATTCCATGACTGACATGCATGCCTCCCCACTGGAAAAGTCATTCAACTACCTACTTTATTAAGATCCTTGGGACACCCTAGCAGGTGTAGCTCATTGGTTGGGCATCATCCCGTGCACTGAAAGGTTGCCTGTTCAATCCCTGTCGGCACTTGACAGAGTTGCAGGCTCGATGCCTGAGTTGTGGGCTCAATCCTCAGGAGGGAGGAGGGTGCAGGAGGCAGCTGATCAATGTTGTGCTCTCACATTGGTAAGTTTCTCTCTATCTCCCTCTCCCTAAAAAATCAATACACATTATTTAAAAAAAGAAAAAGGAAAAAAGATACTCTGTGGTAAACCCTACTTACTTGTACTACATTACAACCTTTTACAAAATGTTCTTTCAATATGCATCATTTAAAATTTTTCCTGTGTAGATGCTTTTGCATTGCAAATTTTTGAAAAGGAAGTAATACATGCTCTTGGAATTTATGGGAAAAGAACAACATCTAGAGCAGTGGTTCCTAACCTTCCTAATGTCGCGACCCTTTAATACAGTTCCTCATGTTGTGGTGACCCCCAATTTCATTGTTACAAATTGAACGTAATTAAAGCATAGTGATTAATCACAAAAACAGTATGTAATTATATATGTGTTTTCCGATGGTCTTAGGCGACCCCGGAGAAAGAGTCGTTCGACCCCCAAAGGGGTTGCGACCCACAGGTTGAGAACCCCTGGCCTAGAGAATACTCCAGACCATCTCTGGAAAAGAGCAGATTAGCATTGCCAACCTAAGCTAGCTAGAACTTGCCCAGTTTAATTTAGAAACTAAATCAGAGAATTTTAAGGAAAATTATTTAATGGTTAGACCTGCTGAGCACATCTACAAAAAGGCCAGCATTTTATCTACCTCTCCTTCCATAACCAACTCACAAAGTCTGTTAATATGAGTTTCATTATTTATTTATTTATTTATTTATTTATTTTTATCCTCACCTGAGGATATTTTTCCATCTATTTTTAGAGAGGGGAAGAGAGAGGGAAAGGCAGAAGGAAATACTGATGTGAGAGAAACACATCAACTGGCTGCCATCGACTGGCTGCCTCCTGCACAAGCCCCAACCAGGGAGGACCTGCAATTGAGGTACGTACCCCTGACCAGAATTGAAACCTGGAGCTTTGGTCCACAGGCCGACACTCTACCTACTGAGCCAAACCAGCTAGGGCGTGAATTCCATTTTTAGGTTGCAATATCTAACTGTGAATTAATCACTGGCCTCTTGCAGCCAATGCTACTTTCCCACCAACCAGAATGGAAACACACATTAAATATAACATTTTCACTATTTGCTCTAAAGATGTTTTGTTCAGATTCAAATAACCCATGCATGAATTCAAGGGATAAAAGGCTAGTTTTTCTAGTGGAAATTGTTCTATTGCCTTGAAAAATTGCCTTCGAAGGTAATTCAATGTTTATAACCTCAGAGGCCTGGTTTCTTCTGTGAAATCTTCAGAAGCAAGTACAGTTTTTTTGGTCAGACTTGCTTTTCAAATTATCAAGGAAAACAAAATCATACACAAATATATATCCAGATACTATTTCGATACAAATCTCTTGTTCTAAGATATGCTACTTTTAACAATTCTATGGTGGTTTCATAAAGGCCATTAAATATTATACGATCATATACACATTAAAGTCAGACTTTTTACAAAGAGGTAGCTATTACTTTAGGTTTCAAATTCACATGTAACACTAAGCAAGATGTAAAGTCAACAAACGCTCATTTTAAAGGTGGAAAACAGTAAAGAAAAAGTATGTTCAAAATCACAGGTACATAACAAAGGGTGTTTACATAAAAATACCACCAAAAAGTGGATTTTTAACCTTTGCTGACCAGGTTTTGTCTGCATGTTTCAATTATCCCTGTGAATTTCAATTTAACTGCAGAAAAGAAACACTATTAAAGTAGAATGTCTTGGCATTGAGATTACAAAGCAGAAAATTTAATGTTAGCATCCCTTTAAAAAATGAAAATTGTATCAAAAGTATGTTGTTTCAGGAGTCTTTGTATTTACAATATTTATGCAAATTTGTGAACAAGCTTTCATTTTGATCAAGCTGATCATCTACATTTTTGTATAAAACTGAAGACTCAAAAAATACATATGTAATTAGATTCTTTTTAAAGATAGCAGTCTATTAAATACCATGGTCTTAGCAATGCAAGGCCATAATAAGTTCAGTAATTGAGCACTGAGCTATGAACCAGACGGTCACAGTTCGATTTCCGGTAAGGGCCCATGCCTAAGTTGCAGACTCAATCCCCAGTAGGGGGTGTGCAGGAGGCAGCCGATTAATGATTCTCTCTCATCATTGATGTTTCTATCTCCCTCTTCCTTCCTCTCTGAAATCAATAAAAATATATTAAAATAAGAAAAAAGCTTTTTTAAAAAGTTTTATTACATCATTTTACATAGTTTTGGACCCTTCCCCTGAGGCTCACCTCACTACATACTGAAGGCAGCAAAAATCTCAAGGTTTTTAAAATATGATGAGATATTAAGGGGCATACATGATAATAGAAGAAACCTCTAGTAAGAGTCACTTTCCAGAATGTAAGAACCACAGGACCACAAAAAGAAAGTTCCACATTTTTCTCTAACACCAATAAAATAGCAAAGGGTTTACAGAGAGAGGAGAGAATGCAAAAAAAAAAAACAACCCCAAAAACCTTTTCTTTTATATTCAGGATGCAATCCCACCTCTTAAGTCCCCATTATAACTTAAAAAAAAAAAAAAAAAAGCTGTAGTAAAAAAATTTACCTAACAGGCATCCGGGAAACAGACTCTCGCATCCGACGCATTGTCAAAGAAGGCAGTGCTGGGACCCCACTATCACCAAGAGTGGAATTTGGAAACAATCTAAATGAAATCAGAGAAAGACTGGTTTATAGACTTGTAGTTATTTTATAGTCAGCCTGACTTCCTTGTAAATTAAAGCTCCTCAAACTGAACTTTTCCTATTCACATTTTCTTTGATCATTTTAGGCTACCCAGAGTAAAGAGACCATCAACCCAAATGACTGGGTTTGAATAACCACAAATTGTGAACAATATTGACCTGCCAATGAACATGCAGGCTCTACGTGTTTCTAGGAAATACCGGCCCAATGTCCAACTATGTCAAAATATTTTTTAAAGCTCCAGTAAGGCACATTATAACATAAATCATGTAGAGCTTTTCTGGAAACATTCTGTCTCAGAAACACATAGATGAAAAGACTAAAATATAAAGAATAAGTCACATTCAGCACCAAAAGTCATAAATAAGAGAAGTGGTGGTGAGATGAGTACTTATGCTCAGCAATTTCACATTACCTCAGGTAATCCCCACAAGAACACTGCCAGGAAGGTAATAACCTTCTTCCCCCCCAGATAAGTGAATCAAGGGGCTCAGAGGTGGTTATAGTTATTGACAACATCAAAATTTTGACCCATGTCTGCTGGACTCCAAAGCTTGTGCCATTTATCCTATACAAGGTCTCTGTAAAAGCAACATGTCACTACCACAAAAGTAAAAAAGATGTTCCCATTGTGGTTTAATGATAACACTCCCTTAGTTTATCCCTCAAAAAAGGATAAGACTTTGACTTTTCATATTCCTATATTAACAGTTTTAAAAAGCACTCTGGAATATGTACCTTTAACTTAAACCTTACTAAAAGATACTTCTTCTATATGATATACATTTTGATAACTGGTTTATCTCCTGAGGGATACAAATGTCTTTTAAGGTTTTAGATTCAAATAATTTCAAAACTGTTTCTCCAGTTTGAGGTGAAGATGGTGTCTATTAGTGAACTACTAGCTGACACTGTCGTTTTGGTTCCTGTATCCCTTTGTTCTTTGCATTACTGAATCGTGGTATCTCAATCTCTCTATGACGGATTAACAGCCCTACCTGCTCATTTTAGAGAGTTATGCTGTACTAAAACTCACTGGTTTCAGATATGTCATGTTTCTAAAGTAGATGGTTTCTAGTCACGATAATTCATTTACCAAGTCCAAATCCCTGACTTGTCAGTCAAATATACAATAAGCATCCTCAAGTGATGTTATACATCCCCACCCCCTTATATTATGTTAATAAAGAATAATGCCTTACAAGAGTTGTCTGACATTACTCCAGTCCACACACATAGTAGGTACTTTGGTGCTACAATGCTCGTGAAATTTGTAGCCACAAGTCTGACATCGAAATCCATTTAGCAAAAACTTCTGACACATGTCACAGAAGGCAAGCTTCAGGAAGGTCTTCCGAGCCTGGAGCGACAAGAACACGTGTAAATTATGCTGAATAAATGAAAGGTGGCAAAAGACAAAATAATTTCTTTCTTGACCCCCAAGAGATTTCATAAATAAAGAATTGTACTTCCAACATTTGTAATATTCATACCTAGAAATTAAAGTATATCTGTGACTAATGAAGCCTAAACTGCCTTAATGTAAAACAATGGCATAATTAAAGCTTTAGATATATGCTTATTAACTTGGAGAAATTCCTGCTAGCCAAAACACTCAATTATGCCACAAAGAGAGAACAGATCTGCAACTTACAAAGTTGTGTGTGGTGAGAGGAACATGATCCAGGAAGTCTACTTGAAGTTCTTCTCCAATCAAGGAGGCAGCATCAGTATTCCAATCTAAACGTGCTTTTTTACTAAAGAGGATTTTAAAAAAACATACAAAAGGAAAATATTTAAACAAGGTGAGAGCTCTATTATTATTGGAATCCAGGTTGGTTGGTTTACACAATGAAATATAGCAATCTCATTATGTAAATATGCAATAAATTGGACTTTGTGGTATTAAATCCTATTAAAAATCCTAAAGAACCTATAAAACAGGTTATAAATACTGCTACAGTGGCAATATTTAATCTTCATTTGCTTACTTCAATCCAGAAGATAAATAGAAAGGAATCACAAATGAAATGCATTTTTCTATTAATAAACAATAGGCTCAAGTCTGTAGTTTGCAGGCTCTATAAATAAAAGCTGACAGCTGACTTGACTGTCTTAATATTTATTCTGAGACCACTCTTTCGGTGCCTAGAATATACAAGACAGAAAAATCAATACATTGAAGTAAAATGTAATGCCCAGCTCCTTTCTCATGTCTTGTCTAATTAATTAGGCCCATCATCCTGAATGATGAATACCCTCAGGTAGGGAGAGACCACCACCATTCAAACCTTTGTTTACCAGAAGACTATTCCAGCCTTTTTTCTTTGTTTTTGTTTCCAATAGTAAATCATCAATCCCTTAATATAATTCCTGATACAAGGTCTGGGAAGTCCTGTTTTGCCCTAAAGAAAAAAGAGGGCAGCCCTATTTTCCAATCAGTCTTCAGGTGCTGTCTATCCAAGAAATAATGTAGGGTAGTTCTAAATCAATGCAGCCTCAGATGGGACTGGAATGGACCAAGCTCCTCCTTATCTCAGAATCTCTCTAACCTTTTTTCCTTATATGACAGGTTTATTTCTCACAGCTTTGGAGGCTAGAAGTCTTAAGATCAGGGTGCCAGAAAGGTTAGGTTCTGGAAAGAGCCCTCTTCCTGGCTTGAAGGTGGCTGCCTTTGTGCTGTATCCTCACATAGGTAGAATCTCTAGTCTTTAAGGAGCACTATAGGTTGGCTTGGGGACCAACCTGGGGCTACACCCAAATAAAGATGACATCTGCTTCGAAGATTTGCACTTTAACACCACCTCCTAAGCTAAGAGAAATAGCATAAATAGAGGAATTTATGCTCACCTCTTTGAGTAGACTCATTTCTGGGCCATACTCTCAAACTGGGGAACTCCCTCAAATATTACAAATGTTAACTGAAGCTCAATAACAGAACTAGCACTTTGCAATAAGGTAAAGATAGGTTATTTATCCACATTTTTGGGGTATGGTAACAGATAATGGGTGATTATAAGTGGCTCTGATATGCTGGTGTATTATTCCTAGCCTCGCAGGGGTTGCTTCTTTTGTGCCACTCAATCTTCCTTAAAGCAGAAATTCTTCTGCATCTTTTAGCCCTGTGTTATACTATAGGGATTCAGTAAACTTAACTGAATAAAAATAAATGAGTGAATTACAAGAGAGTCAATCTCTTGGGAATAGCATTCTTTATCTATAAACAATAATGCAATACTTTGTGAGTACCTAATGTGTGCACTGCATTACTGCAAACACAAAAAAACTTTGCTCTCAAAAAATCTGACATTACTGTTTCCATCTATGGAAGCATCAAACATGCATTTTATTTTTCAATGCAATGTGGTGTTTTTTTAAAAATATATTTTTATTGATTTCAGAGAGGAAGGGAGAGGGAGAGAAAAAACATCAATGATGAGAGAGAATCATTGATTGGCTGCCTCCTGCACACCCTCTACTGGGGATCAAACCCGCAACCCGGGCATGTGTAGTATCCCTAGCCTCGGAGGGGATGCTTCGATCAGAATCGAACCTGGGACCCTTCAGTCCACAGGGTGACGCTCTATCCACTGAGCCAAACCAGCTAGGGTTCAACGCAGTGTTTTTAAGCAATAATTTCAAGCTCTTGGTATTTTATTTTTCTGAATTGTCTCTTTATAAACAAGGATATACAAATATACAATATTTTACAGGAAGCTAGTATATTGTTTTAAAAATGGAAAACAGTTATTTGAAGATCCTTACTAGCATTGAGAAGGGAGCTAATTTTGAGTTCTTACCCTTTGTGTTCGTGGAGAAGTCTGAACACTGCGCAGCACTCTGGTTGCAGGCCCCTCACCTTGAGTGCTTTCATAAGGCAGTCATGCAAGCTCATTCCATTTCGTACATTGACCTACAAACAAAGGACCATCTTTAGGACCAACACAGGTTGCACACCCTTGGAAAAACAAGCACAGAAATAAATGCACCAGTCTGTAAGGGTGCACGTAGAAAGATATTTATAGCAGCATTGCTTATAATGGTGTACACACACACACACACACACAGAATGTCTAGCAATAGGTGAGCACTTGAATAAAATACAGAACATCTGTGTATGTCACAGTATGCCCCTACTACATTGCTCATAATGACCTGGAGGGAGGGGTGTCCATGATATGTTAACTGGGGGGGAAATGTTTTTGTGAATAATACAGAGTAAGGTATTTAAAGGGTGGAGAACATATATATGTATCTGTGTGAAAAGATATACACCTAGCTGTTAACATCGAGAGTGGTTGGAAAAGATAAAATAATAAACTTTCCCTTTACACATATCTAATTTGTCTGACTCACTGAAATGTACATGCAAGCATAAACATCCACCAGAAAGAAAAAGAAACCAATCTGATCTATAAACAAACGAGTCTTTCTGATCAAAAATTTGTATTTCAAACTATTTTCAACCAAATAGTTGATCTTCGTAAAAAAAATTTCCATCTTGCCCTGGTGAGGTGGCTCAGTTGGTTGGAGCGTCATCCTGTGCACCAAGGGGTTGTGGGTTCGATTTCCGGTTGGGGCACAGATCTAGGTTGCAGGTTCAATTCCTGGTCACGTAGGGGAGACAACCAATTGATGGTCCTCACATCAATGTTTCTCTCTCTCTCAAGTAAATTAAAACATATTTTTGGATGAGGATTTTCAAAAAAATTCCCATCTCATTTGCACTTCACACTAGTGAGGGCAAGCAGGAAATGAATGGGATAGGATTCTGCCCTGCTTTAAGGACAAACACCACTGCTAGTTTAAATAAATGTGCACAACATTCCACGTAGTCTCAGCATTTATGCCTCTCCACAGTCCCCTGTTCCCAATCCTTAAGGGTTAGGCACTCAGAGGCCTGGTAGAATGTGTGAGTGTCCATGGTGCTAATAAGGGCAGCTATATAAAAATTTCAACTAAAATCTTAAAGGGTTTTTATACAAGCTATATACTTTATTTTTAAAGCCAATAAAGTTGACACAACGTAAGGCAACTAGAGTCAGTATGGCCAGTAAGGAGAGCAGAATGTAATAGCAGTATTTGTGAACTGCCCACAGTGGAGCTCCCCGACTAGGTGAAAGAGTAACAGATGCCAGTGGCTGACCCAGCCCCGTCCCAGAGGAACGTGAGTGTATTTTGTATCTATTATAAAGGCTTAAAATATTTTAAAACATTCATTTAAAATGTTACATAATAAGTTTATTTTAAAGGTTTCTTGAAGCAATGATTCTCTTGAAAAGACCACACTAACTTCCAGCTTTTCAGAAAAAAAACCCAAACAAGTAAAGTGAAATAATAATAAGCTGAGCCCTGGCCACTGTGGTTCAGTCGGTTGGAGCATAGTCCTGTACAAACGAAAGGTTGAGGGTTCAATTCCCATTCACGGCACATACCCAGGTTGTGGGTTCGATCCCCAGTAGGAGGGGGTATATAGGAGGTGACCAATCGATGTTTTACTCTCATATCTCTCCCTCTCCCTCTCTTTTTCTCTCTCTCCCTCCCTTCCTTTTTCCCTCCCTCCTCCCCCACCTCTCTCTCATCCATTAAAGCAGGGGTCCTCAAACTATGGCCCGCGGGCCACATGCGGCCCGCCGAAAACATTTGTTTTTTTACTTCAAAATAAGATATGTGCAGTGTGCATAGGAATTTGTTCATAGGTTTTTTTTTAAACTATAGTCCGGCCCTCCAACGGTCTGAGGGACAGTGAACTGGCCCCCTGTTTAAAAAGTCTGAGGATCCCTGCATTAAAGCATGTCCTCTTGTGAGGATTGAAAGGGGGGAAAAAAAGAGAACAAAATAATAAAATAAACTGAACTATGAAGATAAGAACAGCAAGAATGAGGACAACAAAGAGTGATAAACACATCCTAAGAGTATCATACAGGACCTGCATCAAACACTGTGCAGCAGTGCTTTGAAAGCTGTAAAGTGATACCTGTATTATATCATTAATCTTCATTAAAATTAACAGTCTCCAAGAGTTAGACAGTTCTTTAAATATCTTCTAATCCAGTGGGGTTCTCAAATGTAGCTGCCACTGGAATCATACAAGGGGCTTGTGAAATATAGATTCCCAGCCTCTCCCCTCCAAAACACAAGGATTGTGATTCAATTAATCTTGAATGAAGCCCAGGAATCTCTATTTTAACGTGCTTTGTCAGGTGATTCTAACTGTAAACAACAGTCCTCGCTATGGGCCAATTACTCATCCAACAATAAGCAGCCGCAGCAATTGTCAAAGAGAGACATGTTTACAAAACAAATGACAAGAAAAAATTCAAAACATAAGCAACTACTACTTTATTACTTCTAAAATTATTTAAATCAGATATACATCTTCTCTGTCATTCTCTCTACAACTCCCCATAGATACATGTTGAAACTGGTTACATCTAATTTCTGGAGCCCATTAAGTAATGATGAGAGTTGTTTCGGGTTCCAGCAGTGAAGCAACCTGGGGCTAATTAGAAACAGCTGACTGATGGTGTTGGCCAGCAAGCAACTCCTTTCTTCTTCAGCACTCCCCTAAGCTGGGAGCCTGGTGAAAGAAGCTGGTTCTTTCAGAGATAGAGGGTCCATCTCGAGTCAAAGAAATAGGAGAAACTAACTTTCTCTACTGAACCTTCTCTTGAGCTGTAGGAGAAATCAAGTTTCCAAATCACTGGTTCCCAACTACCAGTTGTGTTCAAATGAAGGCTGCCAAGGACTATACAGATGTAGAAAAAAACTCAAGAAATAATCATAGCTACCATTTTACTTATGAATTAGCCACTGTATTCAGCATGCCTCATTTCATAAAGGTCAGGAAACAGAGCCTCAAAATATTATGTAACCCGTCTAAATGACACAGCTAATAAAAGGCAACACAGGGATTTAAGTTTGGGCCTGCTTTCTTAAAGGTCCATACACTTAATCATTATGCCAAACTCAGTTCCCAGCCTTCCAGGCAAACTAACAGTGGATGGGGATAGAGAAGATAACTGCAACGACGCCCAGAAGCCGCAACAAGTGATCTTCAGCTCCCATCACATTCATACTTCGACCTGGGCTCTCCATTTAAAGTTAGAAAATTGAAATAGTAGGTAAAAATCACTTTGCAAATGCAAGACTACTGTTGAAATATAAGGGGATTGTTACTATTTATTTTGCCAGACATTAAACTTTCATTTTTAGGAAACAAAAATAAATCAACTTTAAATGCCTTTTGAGTTCAAATGTACCTTAATGCAATACTATAACTAGGAGACTCCTTAGGTTCACAAAAGAAGTATAAAGTAATTTATTAGTAAACTGGGGAGAGTGGAACTGTTAGAACTGAGAAAACTCTGTCCTGACCACCCAACCTCAGAATCCTGCCTCACCCTAAGTACAAAGAGTAAACACAATGCAATGATTTTACATAAAGAATGAAGAGTGGGAAAGGAGAAGGCATGGAAGTTTGAATTAAGGTTTTCAAATGTCCCATCAAGCAAAATGAGCACAACTTCATTTTTCTGTTTCAATGCGAAGGTGTTAGGATAGAAAACTTTTTTGAACATTTTTTTTTTTTAAGTTGAGGGTTGTTGTTGTCTTTTGTCAAAAAACTGAGTGGCAGTGTCTACCATGCTAGATGCTAACAGAAATCTGTCACTAATACTACAAAAATAAGCTTTGCAGCAACAACTGGCTAGTGCCAGTGCTCTGGAAAAGAAGAAGATACTGATTTCTAAGCAACCTCCAGCTTTGTCCTGGGGCCTGTGAACTTAAACAAAATGAATTTTTCTAGGTAATTTTATTTTCTTCTAAATCAGGGGTTCTCAAACTGTTTAAACAGGGGGCCAGTTCACTGTCCCTCAGACCGTTGGAGGGCCGGACTATAGTTTAAAAAAAAACTATGAACAAATTCTTATGCACACTGCACATATCTTATTTTGAAGTAAAAAACAAAACGGGAACAAATACAATATTTGTATTTGCATGTGGCCCGCGGGCCATAGTTTGAGGACCCCTGTTCTAAATACTTAATTATAATATCCAAAAAAATATGTAAGTGAACATTTTGCTTTAATATTCAGAAGAAAATAATTTTTAATTATTAATGACTTTTAAAAACTAGCTAGAAAGGTCTAAGGGAGCTTTGAGAGTCTTTAAAATATATCCCCATAAGAATATACTATTTGCCCTGGCTGGTGGTTAGAGTGTTGGGTTCAATCCCCAGTCAAGGGCACATCCCTGGGTTACAGGTTCAATCCCCAGCCCTGCTCAGGGTGTGTATGAGAGGCAATAAATCAATGTGTCTCACATCATGTTTCTCTCTTTCTTCCCCTCCCTTCCACTCTCTTTTAAAAGCAATGGAAAAAATATCCTCAGTTGAGGATTAACAAAAAAGAATGTACTATTTGTTTAAATGAAGTGCAGAAAAGCAGATATACTAGGCAAGAGTTATAATAGAAGAAGGGCTAAGGGTTGGGAAAAATAGGTGGTGTGGGAGGAACACAGCCATATAAAATCTGCAGCTGGAAAGCCAATTAATGAAGACCCTAAGCAACAGTGAAGATTTTGCCTGTTTATAAGATGGGCGACATGATCCATAATGTTCGCTATAGGCAGATGGACAACTAAATTTTCTCAGAGGAATGTTCACGTACCACTGTTCTTTGCTTGTTTGGCAAGAAAACACGGATAGTATTGCTTGTCTTAGAAGAGTCCATAAGTTTGCCATCATCTGATGCTCGGCGCTGATAGCCAAACTGCTGAACTATTGTGGGGGAAATGCAGCTGGGGCCATCAAACACTGCATCTTTGAATCCAAAACCATTGCTGATCGTCTTCCAGGCCCCCTGTATGTGCTCCATTGATGCAGCTTACACAACACTTAAACCTGGTTATAAGAAAACAACAAGATATTATTTTTAATTATTTTATTAAATTATATTTCTAAAACATAAGCAATTAACTCAACAACAATATATAAGTTGTGAAAATCATGGTCTGTGGGCTATCTTTTTTAAGTACTTCATTTACTTATTGTTGTCTTTTTGTGGTGAAAACACAGCATGAGATGCTCTTGGCCAGGTTAAGCGTACAAAATGGACAGTGCTGTACACATCTCTACATCTTATTCATCATCTTGCTTAAGTAAAACTTTTGCCTTTGATTAGCAACACTCCATTCACCCCTTCCCCAGCCTCTGGCAAACACCATTCCATTCTGATTCTATAAATTTGACTATTTTAGAGCTTTCTTATAAGTGACTAGAGACCCAGTGCACAAAATTCATGCACGGGTAGGGTCCCTAGTGGCTGCCGGCTGCCAGCCAGGGCCTCCCTTCATTCCATACCGCCCCCTGGTCATAGTGAGCGATCAAACTCCCGAGGAGACACTTTGCATATTAGGCTTTTATATATATAGATGCCTTCTGCTTAAATAAATTAATCAGAAAGCTTCTGTATTAATATATTCCTATAAAATATTTCTGTTAATCCTCATCCAAGGATACTTTTTTAGAGAGAGTAGAAGTGAGGGGGAGATAGAGGGAGAGAAACATGGATGTGTGAGAGACATATCGAATGGTTGCCTCCAGCACCAGCCCTGACCAGGGCTGGGGATCAGCCTGCAACCAAGGTACGTGCCCGTGACTAAAATCAAACCCAGGACCCTTCAGTACTCGGGCCAATGCTCAAAACACTGAGCAAAACCGGCCAGGGCCTATAAAATATTTCATAGATAACTCAAAAAATTAGCAAAGTGGGAATCAAAAGATTCATCAAGGGTGAAGGGTCTCTTACCCTTTGAGACAGCATGGAGGGACCTAGAGAGTATTATGCTAAGTGAAATAAGCCATTCAGAGAAAGACAAGTATCACATGATCTCACTCATATGTGGAATCAAATGAACAAAATAAACTAATGAACAACATAGATCCAGAGATATAGAAGCATGGAATAGACCAGCCATGGGCAAACTACGGCCCGCGGGCCGGATCCGGTCTGTTTGAAATGAATAAAACTATTGAAATAAAAGACCGTACCCTTTTATGTAATGATCTTTACTTTGAATTTATATTAGTTCACACAAACACTCCATCCATGCTTTTGTTCCGGCCCTCCGGTCCAGTTTAAGAACCCATTGTGGCCCTCGAGTCAAAAAGTTTGCCCACCCCTGGAATAGACTGATGAATCTCAGAGGGAAGGCAGAGGTAGGTGGGGAGAGATTAACCAAAGAATTTACATGCATATATGCATAACCATGGACACAGACAATAGTGTAGTGAAGGCCTGAGAGGTGGGATGTGGAGGGGGGCGTCAATGGGTGAAAAAGGGGGACATCTGTAATACTTTCAACAATAAAGACAAATTTAAAAAAGAAGATTCATCAAAGTTTATACCACCAGGGAACATGAGCCAAGATCTCTTGACTTTTAGTCTAATACTTTTATCATTACATTTCTCTTCTTTAGTTATTGTATATTAAATATGTGTACACTGGAATATGAGTAATACGTTAGTAATAAGAGAAATTATTTTTAAAGTGTGAGCCAGAATTTTCTACCTTCAAGGAAGGAAAAGAAGTTAGTATTTCTAGGACATGTTAGACACTTTTTATATAAACTAGTGTCCCAGTGCATGGATTCGTGCACATTAAAAGAAAATTAGAAAAAAACATTTTAATATCACTATTTGCGTCTTGCTAATGAAAAGAAAATAGGATTCTACTGAGTCTCCTATCTACCTACTCTAGGACTTCTGTGAGGATCAAATGAGATGAAGCACGGGAAAACGCTTCACAAACATTTGGTTAAACTTTAAAATGTTTGCACCTGGCTATAAAGCAAGTCGGGTTCCTGAGCTGAAGAAATTCCAAGGATGCTAGTCACTAGGGATAGGAAGCCGTGTGTTGCTACATGACATCATTACCCAGTGCCCACAGCGACTGTATCTGGGCTGGGCTGTGGGGAGCATTTTGCACCATGGGTTCTTGGCAGCGTTGGCTGAGATTTGGTGGGGTGTCACTCTGGGGTGGTGGCGGGGCCTGTGTCCCACTTGGGGGAAGCCGAGTGCTGGTTTGTCGGCGCCAGGTCTGTGGTGCCGTTTATTTTTAAATGGCCAGTGGGTGTCACAGCAGCTCCTGTGTTGAGCATCTGCTCCATCGTGGTCAGTGTGCGTCATAGCAGCCAATCGGATGGACGGACACTTAGCCTTTTATATATATAGATTACCTTATTTAAGAAACCCAAAGATTTTTAATACCTTTGTCTAGCCACTTTTTTTTTTTTTAATAAATAAGGCACAGAAGAATCATGCCACTTGCCCAAGAACACCAATGTAACAGGTAAAATAACCAAATTCTTTATCTGTTTAAAGTCCATGAACTTTCCACCACAATATTCAGAGTTCAGTTTTGGTACAGAAACAAAGCTTATAAATAGAAGCAAGCAGAGAGAGTCATCTAAACAAAAATAACCATATGTTTTATTCGGGCAACAAGAAAACTTCAACAGAAGGCCATACATAGTCACACAATGACTATCAGATCCTCTACAGTGAGGACACACAGTGCTCTGACACTGACAGGGAGTCAGCAATCATGCGGAAATGAGAGGTCTGTTTCCTCCTGTTTCATATGTCAGATTTACTGAAGGTGTTAACATTAAAAATGTTGAATTTTGTGCCAAAAAAAAGAGCATTTGGGGGAAGTTTTAATTCATTACTTTATTTTGAAGAAAAAGTTATCTTATACTTCGGAAAGCTTATGGTGAACATGCTCCATCTCAAGATACTTGTGAACGCTGGTTTAAACACTTTAAAAGTGAGGATTTCAATGTGAAAGACAAAGAACATCCAGGTCAACCAAAAAAGTTTGAAGACCAACAATTATAAGCATTATTGGATGAAGATGCGTGTCAAACTCAAAAACAACTTACAGAAAGATTAAACGTTGCTCAGCAAACAATTTCCAATTGTTTACAAGCAATGGGAAAGATTTTAAAGGAAGGAAAATGGGTGCCACACCAACTAAACGAAAGACAAATGGAAAACCGAAAAGTCATTAGTAAATGTTGCTTCAACGGCACGAAAGAAAGTCTTTTTTGCATCAAATTGTGACTGGCGATGAAAAGTGGATTTATTTTGAGAATCCCAAATGCACAAAATCATGGGTTGATCCAGGTCAACCATCAACATCGACTGCAAGGCCAAATTGCTTTGGAAAGAAGACAATGCTCTGCGTTTGGTGGGATCAGGAAGGTGTGGTGTATTATGAGCTTTTAAAACAGGTGAAACTGTTAATACTGATCGCTACTGACAACAAATAATCAATTTGAACCACGTTTTGATCGTGAAACGACCAGAATGTTCCAGGAGACACGGCAAAGTAATTTTGCTTCACGATAACACACCATCACACACTTCAAAACCAGTTAAAGACACGTTAAAAGGTCTTGCCTGGGAAGTATTAACCCACCCGCCGTATTCACCAGACCTTGCTCTTTCTTTTTTCTTTTTTTTTTTTTTTAAAATATATTTTATTGATTTTTTACAGAGAGGAAGGGAGAGAGATAGAGAGTTAGAAACATCGATGAGAGAGAAACATCGACCAGCTGCCTCCTGCACACCTCCCACTGGGGATGTGCCCGCAACCAAGGTACATGCCCTTGACCGGAATCGAACCTGGGACCTTTCAGTCCAAAGGCCGACGCTCTATCCACTGAGCTAAACCGTTTTTGGCAAGACCTTGCTCTTTCAGATGACCACTTGTTCTGATTGATGGCACGCGCACTTTCTGAGCAGCACTTCAAAACGTACGAAGAAGTGGAAAATTGGGTCTCTGAATGGTTTGCCTCAAAACAAGAGAAGTTCTATTGAGACGCTATCCACAAATTACCTAAAAGATGGGGGAAATGTGTAGCTAGCGATAGACATTACTTTGAATAAAGCACTTTTGATGTTTTTCTTGAAATTGTCGTGTTTTCTTTGATTAGAAAATCTGCCATTATTAACCGGTACGCCTACTATACTACATACATCCCACTCATATTATCCAACCTAATCCTTAGAGTGATAGGCAGGAATTATATCCCCATTTTACATTTGAGAAAATTCTCACACAGCTTTAAGTGGCAGATATAGGATTCAAAACTGGCAGCTTTGACTCCAGATCCCTTACCTCCACATATATTAAACTGACACTTGAAATCATTTTAGTCAGAGTTGAAATGGCCTAGAATTAAAGACTATTTTATTCTACCCTCGTTTTCAACCAGAATTTTTTTTTGTCTGGATACCCACTACGTGTTAAGTTTTTTCTTATATCACATACCTGAATCAAGACAGGATGATAGATTTAACTATTATTCTTAGCTGACAGTTGAGAAAACCAAAGAGGTTTACAAACTTCCTCAAGATCACAACATAGCATTTATTCTCACACGATCTTAGCATAACTTTTTTGGAGCAAAATATGGTAATAACTATTAAAATTTTGAAATGTTCCTAAAAACTGATCTAGTAATTCAATTGTACTCTAGGAATATATCCTACAGCAGCTTAAGTGTCTAAAAATATATGTACAAGCATCTTCATTACAGCATTATTCATAACCTTGAAATTGAGAAAAAGACCAAATACCTAATAGGAAATTAACAAATCAAATTAATACCCATATAATAAATGAAGTACATTTATATGTGCACAGCTATCCAAGACAAACAAAAATTGAAAAATACGTGAATCTTTTTTAAAAAATATATGTTATTGATTTTTTACATAGAGGAAGGGAAAGGGATAGAGAGTTAGAAACATCGATGAGAGAGAAACATCGGTCAGCTGCCTCCTGCACACCCCCTACTGGGTACGTTCCCGCAACCAAGGTACATGCCCTTGA